AGCACTATGCTAGAGATCGTGGATAGATACGGTGCAAAATAAGTTTTTGTTTACAGCTGTCCCATGGGGAGGGGGAAGGGAGGGAGGAGAGAAATCTGCTTGCCATGCTGGAAACTATTAAAGACAGTGTAGTGTTTCTGTGTCGAACCGATTTCTGTGCCTTGTAAAATATTTACATGTTAGTTTGTTCTCCAAAATAGCTTGTGGTTTAACACCCGACCGCCTGCATTTCCTTAACTTTGTTTCTCATTTCCTCACCACATATTAAAACCAAAGATGAAGATGATATTTTATTTTATTCAGCCTTTCTGGGCCTCCTTAATTATTGAGAGAACCTTTAAGATCTCCTTGCTACGAATTCAGACTTAAGCAAATGTGAAATGTTTACCACCCTCCACAGTACTCCTTGCTACAGTGCCCTTTTATTTTCATATATAATAATAATAATCCTTGCATTTGATACAGCGCCTTATTACGTCTTCGGGACATCTCAAAGCACTTCTCACAATATACAGTAAAGTGAATTGTCTGTATATTTTGTGGGCAAAACGTGGCAGTCAATTGTGCACAGCAGGTTCCCACAAACAGTCGTGGATCGAGTGACCAATTTATTTTGAGGGGATTATTACCCCCGGAAAAGCGATCCCCCAATTAAATAACAACCAGGTTCCTACTTACTGCTGGAGTAAGGAAACATGACCAATGTTTCGAACCTAGTCCTCTTGCCTATGAGGCGAGTGCTCTAATCACTGAGCTACAGGACTCCACAATACATAAGTGTTCAGAAGAGATGCCATAGGAAAATTACCAAAGCAATATTAATATGTCACCTTGTGTTAGCACTGTAATATCTGGGAAAGATATTAGGATCTTAAGATAATGACCATTTTGCCGCATGCAGTGTTTAAAAAAAAGAATAATTTTTAAATTGTTTTTTTACTGATAAATACCCGCTTTTTCTTTCGATCGGTTTAAAAAGAACTGTCTTCGCCCAAATTTAATTTTTAATTTAGAAACTCACAAACTTTGTCGGTGTCTGTGATAGCACGTGCGCAGTGCTGGCTTGCCTGTTTATTCCAGGGAGAAGCACATCTTGCTATACTGGTAACTCGTTGCCAGAGGCTGAGCGGATGTTCCAAATGAAATCCAGATTATTCCACCAAATTTACCCCTTATTTTTGTGTTCAGTTCCCCCCTACCCCCCTTTCTCGGTTTTTCGACAGAAAAAAAATAAACCCTGAAAAAAAAAAGAAAAATACTCAGGTTTTTATTTTGTCAATGACAAAAATGGTTTCAATGGTATTTAAATATATTCACCTTGTTAAAACAGTACCGTTGTTTATGTTTGATGCAGTGGCTTTCACCTCAGGAGGATGCCTCAGAACGCTTGTTCTGTTCTGAGAGCCAGCGTAGACTCGATGGGCCAAATGGCCTCCTTCTGCGCTGTAGGTTTTCTACGCTTTTAAGTTTCACAAGATTTGCTGTCAGATGGAACTGACTATATTTTGTTGCCGAAAATGTTCCAACCTGTGGCCGTATCACAACGATAAGAATGCATCCTTTTCAAACAACGGTGGAGCTTTTGAATCAGTTCAGCCTCTTTTCTGCTTCCCCGAACCTCTGGAACTTCCTGCCTCACTCCTTCTGTCTTGCCCCCTCTTTGTCCCTCTTTAGCTCGCACCAGAATACTTCTCTCTTCGACCCCTCCTTCAGTGATCTTCCCCCTTTTTTCCTTATTCTAGATCAAACTACGCCTCTGTTAAGCACTCCTAGACACGACACCGCGTGACAGTTTCTCTATACAAGTGCATTTTTTTGTTTTTGTTATTACACTTTAATCAGAGCAGCTATTTAGAATATAAGCTAGAATGCAAGTGTAATAAAAATGTAACGCGTAATGTGAGTTTTTAACCTTACACGGTAATTTTACAGATTTCTTGCGTATTAGTGAATGATCAGGCAATGTTATGTTTAACAATTGTGCTAACACATGCAACTCTGCTGCGCACATTCACCCCTCCTGGTCCCAAATACAATTCTGCTTTTGTGACCGCACAACAAACTCGTCGAACTTGTTTTAAAAGTTTACATTTGTTTCTTTCCCTTTGTTCCAAGAGTATAGCGCAATGCCTCACCCGCTACCATTCCTCTTCCCCTTGAAATTCTCCTTGTATATCACATGCCCCAAAACCCTCCCCTGCTTTCGTCTCAGACATCTCCATCCTTCTAGCTTCCCTCTGCCTCTGTTCCGAATGCCTCCTCATCTTAGGTGACTTCAACCTCCACCTCACCCCTTCTTGCTTTTCTTTGAGGGCCTCCTCTCTCCTCTCCTCTCACAGCCTTTCCCTCCACATCAACTCTGCTGCCCACATCCATGGCCTTACCGTCAAAGACCTCTGTCCTCCACCCCTCCTGATCCTATCCACCAGCTCGGGTCCAAATCTCTGACTATCCGGAGCCTTGGAACGTCCTCCCGACGTGAAATTAGGTGTTGTGTAAATGTAATATTCTTGTTTTATGAGCGTGCATGTCAGACAAGAGCCATTTCCGTGCTCTGGGATGCTCTCTCTTGTTGTTGCCAGGAACAAGAGCTTGTTGCTGTGTGTCTGGTTAATTTGATTATCATCCAAACCAGCCTTGTGATCTTCCTCCTGCAGCTGTCTGTCTGTCTGTCTGTCTGGCAGATCATCCAGAAACTGCAGCGGAAAACTATCGTTTCAGGACACGATTTCCTGCTGAACCGGGTGGGATCGTAAGTACGGGATCTGAAGCACACCATATCCTTGATGAATTAGTTACACTTTCATAAAGAAATAAGTATAAATCTGAGCACCAAAAAAAACAGATTTGTGACAAGTGGACCTTCTCTAACCTTGTTTCAGCGGTTTGGGACGTCCTCCCATAATGAAAGGCGCTATACAAATGTCGTTTGTTGTTGTTGTTGTTGTTGTTGTTTTGGGACCAGGATGGAATAGCTATTCACAGCGCTTGTCCAAAGGTACAGTACTTCCTGCTACATATTCTGTGGCTGCTGTGAGATGTTTGATCTGCTGTTAATTGGTCTAATGCATTAAATTGAACACAATGTTCATTGTACTTTCATGTTTTGACAAATGTGTTATGCCATGAACACACTAACAAGCTGCAATTGAGCTTAATCCCAGCCAAGCGTTTGTTTTATGGCGCAGAAATTAAATCAATTTATTTTTGAATTGGAGTTAAGGAACTGAAACTAAGTTCATCCTGCCCCTCCCAATTTGTCCCATTTGTTCAGAGATTTAAATGTTCTCAATACTGTGAAGCATGCAGCAGTGCCCACAGTTGACTATGATTGGGACTAAACAGTGTGAATAATGTTATTTCGTGTGGATGTTTTATTTGCCACATTACAGGGTGTGTTTTTACCCACCAAACTGTGGGAAAATGGAGGTAGAGAAAAACAATAGTGTAATAGAAATGACTGTGCAAGATTAAAAGAAGAAAACAAAACAAGTCTAATCAAAAGACAATAATAATGTAGCGTCTTATCACGTCTTCGAAATATACAATTCACTTTACAGTGTATTCTGTGAAGTGCTTCGAGACAACTTGATAAGGTGCTATAGCATAGGGGGAGAGATGTACACCTGGAGGGGCGGGAGGAGAGATGCACACCTGGAGGGGCGGGGGGAGAGACGTACACCTGGAGGGGCGGGGGGAGAGACGTACACCTGGAGGGGCGGGGGGAGAGACGTACACCTGGAGGGGCGGGAGGAGAGATGCACACCTGTGTGGGGGGAGGGAGAGATGCACACCCGTGGGTGGGGGGGAGGGAGAGATGCACACCTGGAGGGGCGGGAGGAGAGATGCACACCTGTGTGGGGGGGAGGGAGAGATGCACACCCGTGGGTGGGGGGGAGGGAGAGATGCACACCTGTGGGTGGGGGGGAGGGAGAGATGCACACCTGTGGGTGGGGGGGAGGGAGAGATGCACACCTGTGGGTGGGGGGGGAGGGAGAGATGCACACCTGTGGGGGGGGGGGAGAGAGATGCACACCTGTGGGGGGGGGGAGGGAGAGATGCACACCTGTGGGGGGGGGGAGGGAGAGATGCACACCTGTGGGGGGGGGGGAGAGAGATGCACACCTGTGGGGGGGGGGGGGGGGAGGGAGAGATGCACACCTGTGGGGGGGGGGGGGAGGGAGAGATGCACACCTGTGGGGGGGGGGGAGAGAGATGCACACCTGTGGGGGAGGGGGGGAGAGAGATGCACACCTGTGGGGGGGGGGGAGGGAGAGATGCACACCTGTGTGGGGGGAGGGAGAGATGCACACCTGTGGGGGGGGGGAGGGAGAGATGCACACCTGTGGGGGGGGGGGGAGAGAGATGCACACCTGTGGGGGGGGGGGGGGAGGGAGAGATGCACACCTGTGTGGGGGGAGGAGAGATGCACACCTGTGGGGGGGGGGAGGGAGAGATGCACACCTGTGGGGGGGGGGGAGAGAGATGCACACCTGTGGGGGGGGGGGGAGGGAGAGATGCACACCTGTGGGGGGGGGGGGTGCACACCTGTGTGAGGGGGTGGGGGGCGGGGCGTGGTGCACACCTGGGGGGGAAGCCCCACCCACACCGACCACGTGCCGCTGACGCAGCCAGGCCAGTGCCCAATGGGCGGCGGGGCAGAGACCGGGGCGGAGGGGAGTGTGAGGGGAGTGAGAGGGGCAGAGAGGGGAGTGTGGGGGACAGAGGGGCTGTGAGGGGAGTGTGAGGGGCAGTGAGGGGGTGTGATTGAGGAGAGGGGGTGAGTGTGAAGGGAAAGAGTTTGTGGGTGACAGAGAGAGAGAGAACGCGCGCGAGTGAGTGAGAGAGAGTGTGTGTGAGGGAGAGAGGGAGAGAGAGTGTGTGTGAGGGAGAGAGGGAGAGAGAGTGTGAGGGGGTGTGTGAGAGAGAGAGAGTGTGAGGAGAGAGTGAGGGGGTGTGTGTGTGAGGGGGTGTGTGAGGGAGAGGGGGAGTGTGAGAGGGTGTGTGAGGGAGGGGGTGTGTGAGGGGGTTTGTGAGGGAGGGGGTCGCCGGGAGCCGCCGCCGCTGTTGGTGACACGATGTGCGGTAAGAATAAGAATAATCAATAAAACAACCGATCTGTCGTCCAAAAGCCCGAGTCCAGTAGTTGTTGTTGTTGTTGTTGTTGTTGTGAGGGGGGAGGAGGGTTTTTTTTTTAAACGACCAACCGTCATCAGTGAGGGAGAGGCTCGCGCCGCTCCCCCCCCCCCTCCCCCCCCCCCCCTCCCCTCCCGCTCCCCCCCACTCCCCACCGCCCCCAACAACAACAGCGACATTACACGTGTACAGCGCCTTTCACGTCGGGAGGACGTCCTGAGACGCCGAACAGTGACAGCATCTCAGACCCCGGGGGGAGGGGGGGGGCGATGGCGCGGTCGAAGAGGAGGGTCTTGAGGCGGGACGTGAAGGAGGCGGCGAGACAGGGAGTGACGGGGGGATGGAATTCCAGAGGTTGGGGGCACCCCCCATCCCCCCCGTCTCCCCATCCCCCCGTCTCCCCCATCCACCTGTCTTCCCCCCCCCCCCCCCCGTCTCCCCCCTGTCTTTCCCCCCCCCTGTCTTTCCCCCCCCCCGTCTCCCCCCCGTCTCCCCCCCACCCCCCCCTGTCTCCCCCCCCCATCCCCCCATCCCCCTGTCTTTCCCCCCCCCCCTGTCTTTCCCCCCCCCCCGTCCCCCCCATCCCCCCTGTCTCCCCCCCCCCCATCTCCCCCATCCCCCCTGTCTTCCCCCCCCCCTGTCTTTCCCCCCCGTCTGCCCCCCCTGTCTCCCCCCCCATCCACCCCTCTCTCTCCCCCCCCCCCCCCCCCCCCATATCCCATTTGGAGTTCTGTAGCTCAGTGGTTAGAGCACTCGCTTTGCAAGTGAGAGACCTGAGTTCAATCCCCGAGGGGTCAGGGCCAAACCTCGGGCAAGTTTCCTCACTCCACACAGAGCCTAATAATAATCCCTCCAAAACCAAAAACAATAATAAATTGGTCATTTTCAATCTACGACTGTTTGTGGGACATTGCTGTGCGCAATTGGCTGCCGCGTTCGCCCACAAATATACAGTCAATTCACTTGACAGTGTGTTCTGTGAAGCGCTTTGGGACGTCCTCCCGACGTGAAAAGCGCTGTATCGAATGCAAAGATTATTATCCCCCCCCGTCTCCCCCCGAGAGATGTCTCGAAGCTCTTCTCAGGACGCACTGTGAGGTGCGCTGACTGTATGTTTTGTGGGGGGAGCTAACTCTGGGGTGCTACCCCGTGCGAAGATCGCGAGCTGTGTAAGTGCACGTTGTTGTTGTTGTTGCGGTGGGGGGGGGGGGGAGGTTTGTTTTGGGATGGAACATTCTGAAAATCCAAAGGAACAAGTTGTGCTGCTGTTGTGGTGCCACAGGTCCTTACCATGTATGTGGCGTGGCTTTTCAACCCCCCCTCCCCCCCCCACCCTTTAATTGTGTGTGGCCGGTTGGGCCGCTGTGTGTGTGGTTGCTTGAGCGGGTGTGTGTGTGTGTGTGTTTGCTTGAGGGGGTGTGTGAGGGTGTGTGTGTGTGTGTGTGTGGTTGCTTGAGGGGGGTGTGTGAGGGTGTGTGTGTGTGCGTGTGTGGTTGCTTGAGGGGGTGTGTGTGCGTGTGTGGTTGCTTGAGGGGGTGTGTGTGCGTGTGTGGTTGCTTGAGGGGGTGTGTGAGGGTGTGTGTGTGTGGTTGCTTGAGGGGGTGTGTGAGGGTGTGTGTGTGCGTGTGTGGTTGCTTGAGGGGGTGTGTGTGCGTGTGTGGTTGCTTGAGGGGGTGGGTGAGGGGGTGTGTGTGTGGTTGCTTGAGGGGGTGGGTGAGGGGGTGTGTGTGTGGTTGCTTGAGGGGGTGGGTGAGGGGGTGTGTGTGTGGTTGCTTGAGGGGGTGGGTGAGGGGGTGTGTGTGGTTGCTTGAGGGGGTGGGTGAGGGGGTGTGTGTGTGGTTGCTTGAGGGGGTGGGTGAGGGGTGTGTGTGTGGTTGCTTGAGGGGGTGGGTGAGGGGTGTGTGTGTGGTTGCTTGAGGGGGTGGGTGAGGGGGTGTGTGTGTGGTTGCTTGAGGGGGTGGGTGAGGGGGTGTGTGTGTGGTTGCTTGAGGGGGTGGGTGAGGGGGTGCCCATGTGGTTCAATGCCGACCTCCCAACCCTGGGGCTGCGATTCAGGGACTTCAGTTACAAGTAAGAACCAGACTGACAGACCATTCATTGGCAGCTTTGGTGGCATTGCCACTCTGCCCACAAAATATACAGTCCGTTAGTTCACTTTACGGTGTGTCCTGTGAAGCGCTTTGAGACGTCTCGAAGACGTGATAAGGCGCCAGGAACATTCTCATCTGTCCAGAACCTGTTGAGTTCAACTTTTATTTTTAGGCGGATTTTACTGTTTTCCTTGCGTCCCAAGGATCCAGTTAACTAGCGATGTCTGAGACTAAAGTGAGACCTGGCAGTCGGGTTCCAGGTCTGTCTTGAGAGGTGGGGAGTGAGTCAGGTCGTTGCTGGGTTGATTAAGTTGTTCCCAGTCAGGAGTTGTTGGAGCAGTTTTAAATGATAATTTGTGTGTGTAAAGGGGGGGGGGGGGGGGTGCGGATGGTTTGATTCTTGATTCTGATCTCATGTGGTCATTGAACCACTGTACTAAATTGTTTTGCGAGATTGCCTCGAATCCTGTGAAGGGCGACAAACTTTTCAAGTGTAAGATCTGCCGAACCCGGTTTTCAAAACTGTCTTTTACCTCCATTTTAAGACCGTCTTTTTCTCCCAGTGATGTTGTATCGTTGTCAAATCTTCTCTTTGCTGCCTGCCTGAGGCATGTGGGCTACTTACATTTAATGAGGCTCGTACAGTCTGTGCAGTCTCCCTTCTAAATCTAAATGTGCTGTTTTGAATTCCCCTATTATCACAAATCACTTTTATGATACCCGAATCAATGGAGAATTCTGCGTTTTGAAGTGAGAATATTTTAAACCTTCAGAAATGCCAAACAACCAGTACAATAAGAGTGCAAAACATCTATAAAATTGCACAAGATGCCAGTTTCATACATTCTGTTTTAATACTGTACACCAGAGGTTGGTATTGCTTCTGAAATATGGTCCTTATTTAGGTTGAATTCTTGATTTTTGCAGTTTTTGCAATTCTTGACTGTTGCAGTTTTTGTGAGGGAAGGGGGAGCTGTAGTCAGGTTCACACTACGCAAGAAGTTAATTGAACTGTTGACCACCGATTGTGAAATAATGAAATAATGCCTGGATTGCATTTGTAGACGGCATCAGTCATACCGTTCACTGCCTATTCTGATGGGCTGAAGAGATGACGAGATTTCCTCATCCATGTGAATTGTTAGCTGCGTTTAGTTGCATTTGGGTTTTGGGGACTGCTTTTATCCCCAAAAGACATTCGTTTCTGAATTTTGAGGTAAAGGCAGAACTGAAAGTTTGACTGAAGAGCTGCGTGTAGTAAAACAGGTTTCATATTTCCTAGTAATTGAACTTTGTTGGTTATTATCGTTTTCAATGAGTCGTATCTTTAAATTCTGGCCACTTGTTAAAATACTTTGTCGATTTGATGTGCATTCTGAGTGAAGCATTCATTTCCATTATTTACGAAAGTAAGGGTAGCCGCCCTAATAGCACAGCGAGTTTATGCATTCAGCTCTTTCACAATAAAAATCAGTAGGTTATCAGGTTTCCTGCTGTGAGGCTTCTGTTAGGAATGAATGACTTGGCTTTTGGTGTGGATGTGACTCGCCTGAGGTTCCTGGTGTAGTAATGTTTGTGGCATTCTGCATTGCTTGTTCCAGTTGATGCTTGATCTAGTATCCAATGCTCACTGGCTTTTTATAATAATAATAATCCTTGCATTTGATACAGCGCCTTATCACATCTTCAAGACGTCTGTCTCAAAGCGCTTCACAGATGCACTGTAAAGTGTAGTGATTGTGGGCACTTTCAGTAAATTTGCGATTACAAACTGCTATTCTAACCAATCCAAGTAGAGTATCTCTTTAAATTGTTTTCGGTAAAAAGGGATATCTGTAGTTTTGGTTGATGATGATACCACTTCACTGTGCAGCTTCTACGGAACAGAGAAGTTCTGTGTACTGAATGTAAGATTTGTTTGACTTCGATGCAGGAAATGTTAATGAAGTTCAGCTCTTCTGGCAGCTCACTTTGAGACGAATGGTCTCAGGAAAGTAGTCTCTGGGGACTTGTATGCCTTCTGGTCTGACTGTGCATGAGCAAAACGAGGTTTAGCTGGAAAACCAACCTTTTTCTGAAAACATAGAGGGAGCATTGTGGAAGCAATGGAGGTTTCAGCTGAAGCTGTTTGGTTATATACGAATAGATCAGGGTAAATGTACAGTGTTTTACAATAAGCCTTGGATTATTTTCATGTGAAAACATAGTACTGTTGCTGTATGTGCCTCAAGAAATCGATTTAAGTGTTTGTTCTAATGAGTGATCTGTTAGTTTGAATAAATGATCCCTGTGATGAGCAGTGCAGAGTTAATTGATGTTTGATCTCACTTGATTGTTTTCTGCTCCCTTCCTCACCGCCATGAGACATTTTCTAATTTGACAAATACAAATTGAGATTCAAGCTTGTGATACACGAACATAAGATTACTTTTTCTTGTTGGGAATTTGAGTTCATTGAGTAGACTGACCCTCCAATGCAGTGCTGAGCTCCTTTGGATGACACTTCACAGCGAGGTTTCATTTGCCTGTTCGTGTAGATATTAAGGATCCCATAGCGCTGTTCAAAAATTGAAGGGAATTGCTTCCAGTGTCCTGGCCAACAAATTCCCCTGATAAAATTGGTCATTCACCCCATGGCTGCTCGTGGGACATTCTGTGCGCAGGTTGGCGACCGCGTTTGCCAACAATTAGCATAAGCGCTGCACTTTACAGTGAATGCTGTGAAGTGCTTGAGGCATTTTGGCACCATGATAAAGTGCTATATCAAATGCGAGGATTATTATTTATTGCAAAAGGTGCCATTTTAGTCCTTTTGAAATTAGTTTATGCATAGATTTTTATTCTTCTCAGTTTTCTGTTTGTTCTGATGAAAATTCAAGAATACCCACAATAGATGGGGAAATGTCTGAAGTTTACTTGGTCCATAACAGATTCTAGGCTTAGTTCTGACTAATCCTCAGAAAACATCTTCAGCACGCAGAACTTGCACTGTTTCCCATGACTTCAAAGAACTTCCCTACTGGCTAATTAGAGCACTTTTGGCTAACAGATAATCCACACGAGACCAAGCCATACACACTAAATGTCTTAATTCCTCATCTGAGGTAATGCAGTTTCTCAAACTATTAAAACATCTGAAAACTTCTTACATAGTTCCATGCCATTGATCCAATTACTGCCAATGTAACTTGCTGTGACGATATGCATTTGGAAGAATAAAATCTGGCTCTGAAGTGCACATCATCATCGTCAGTGCACTTGGCAGCGGGAGAAAGCAGTTCTCATAAACTGCTTCACTGATGGCACTGATATGTACCCCCCCCCCCCCACTCCCGCCCCCCCCCCCCACCACCACTCAGGCTCAGTAGGTGTCATTCTGAGTAAAAAGCTTGTGGATTTAAGACCACATCAGGATTTGACTAATCTGGAGAGCACTGCGGTGTCACCCTTTGTATGAGCTCTTAAATCTTAACGGTCCTGTTGGCCTGTTCTTGAAGTGGACGTCAAATAAAATGTAATGCTATTCAAACACAGAATGTTAGTTTTCCTCCCTGTGTCCTGACCAATATTCTTTCAGATTAATTGGTTCTCCACCACTGTACTTAACTGTTTGTGAGATGTTCCTCCATTATTTCCCTACAAAATAATTACCTGTGAAGCAACTTTGAAATGTATTGATGTAATAAGGTGCCATAAAATGCAAGTTCTTTCTATTGGAGCAGTTTAGTTTTTTAATTTATTTTTGATGATGGCCAAGAAACTGTTTCCGTTCAGTTACTACTTGTCTACGTATCTACTTATAAAATAATTTTGAGTCTGTAAGATTGTTTGCTTCGCTGAACTTCAAATTTGCAAAACTAAAGGAGATATTGTTTTCAGAGTTTATAAACTTGCCGTATAATCTGAATAACATAGAATTATTATTATAGAATTTAAAAATTCCTTAAAAGAGTGACACTAGTTGAATACCTTATTTACCCTTGTAATCTCTGGCAGTAATACTTTATTACTGCTGCGTTTCGCCCACAAAATATACAGTCAATTCACTTTACAGTATATTCTGTGAAGCACTTTGCGACGTCTCGAAGACGTGATAAGGCGCTATATCAAACACAAGGATATTATTACTAATTACTCATGTTAATTAATTCACAGGAATCTTTGCATATCTGAACTATAAAGTCCCTCGCACCAGAAAGGAGATCTTTGAGACCCTTATTAAAGGACTGCAGAGGCTTGAATACAGAGGGTACGATTCAGCAGGTAAACCTTCATGTTGCAGATCAAGATTTTTCTGATACAATTCGACTGTCAGATTGGAAAAAGGGCTTCATTTGAGAACACCTTTTCTGCAGCACTATTTGCTGTGCTTTAAGTTGAACCAATTAAGTATTCTCGCGAATTAGAAGCATTTCATTCTTGGACATTTTTTTAAAAAATGCAAGTGGCTCCTCAATGGGTCAATTGATTAAGAACTGTAATCAGAAATACTGAGACATACAGACCTGTAAGGTTCAATATTTGATATCCACAGGCTCTGCTGATTTAACAGATGTGGCTTCAGCAACTTGAGGCTAAAGAAAAGGAGAAACAGCCAGCATTCTGCTTCTGACAGCTATCTAATGATTCTTACTGTAAAGTGAGCATGCCCACAGAATATAGTTGATTGAGGACAGGGTTGATGCTCCATTACCTGTTGGCACTCAGTTCATGGAGAATCATGTTTGTGGAGTTCAACATAGTCCTGCTTTGCTGATAGAACAAGGCTCCTCTAACTCACACACCTGGCTTATGGTGTTGGAAAAACTATCCAAGTTCCAAGTTGTCGGGTTGCTCCTGACATCACTTCCTATGAGTTGTACGCTCACGCCAGAACCACCACTAACATCATTTTGTGAAGGGCATGTTGTTAGCTGCGCTTCCTGCGTAGGAATGTGATGACAGCGGAGACTGGGTGACCCAGAAGTTGGCCATTTTTTTGTGCCTCTCTCATAATCTGGCCAGTGAGACATTGGACCAGTTAACTGTTTTTGCAGGTTTTCTTGTATCTGGGTTAGCTGATGATAAATGGACCCATGGGTTTCAAACCAGGGGGTGGGCTGGAGAGTGCATAATGTTTTTTAAAAATCTATAAAGTTCATCTAGTTTCATTTTCGAATCAATGTCGTGTTTTAATTGCAGGAATAGCAGTTGATGGAGACTGCGACAAAGACTGTGAGAAGGATGGGCACATTGTCCTTTTCAGGAACCAGGGGAAAGTGAAGGGGCTGGAGGAAGAGCTGCAGAGTAAGTGTCAAATGTTCATAAATTCCGGTTAGAGCTATAGTTGTATTTCTTCTTGTACCTCCTTTTTTTTTTTTTTTTGATTTCATTGCTGCAAAATAATGTGACCTGAAGGATAGATTTTTCCAAAGAACTTCTTTTGGATTACATATCTGGCATGTCTTCCCCTGGTCAACTTCTGATTACCCTGAGTGCTTGAATGCCTTTCCCAGGTGGAAGCCTCCTTTCTAACCTGCACACATGTTAACTGTTTACTTTCGTAATCTTTGTATCAAAAATGGTCTCCGTGTCATCTGCCCAAGATTCATCTTTAATTAATTATCTTAATTCAATCAAATAATGATTAATTATTTTAATTACTCCAGTTAATTCTATAACCGTAACTCATCTAGAATGCTCTACGGTGAAATATAACGCGTGCTCTGAATTCAGTATTTGAAATAGAACAATGGTTCATTTTTCAGAACAAGAGGAGTTGGATGTAGAAAAGGAATTTGAAAGCCACTTTGGGATTGCTCACACTCGCTGGGCTACTCACGGAGTGCCAAATGCAGTGAACAGTCATCCGCATCGTTCTGATAAAAGCAATGGTACGTGATCAAGACGTTTGGTGTTGGAATAAAGCTGGTTGTCAGTTCTAAGGCTGTGGTTCTATTGAGGGATACTGATGACAACAGTGAAGCTTTGAGTAGTTCATGAAGATTAGTCGAGCCCGAAGTCTTGGCTGGATTCTGAAACTCATTAATCATTTCACATAACTTTTTTAAAAACTACCCTTAACATCGAAATGTTAATGCTCAGTTTAGAGCACCACTGCCATAATGTGAGCACTTCTCAGCAAAGACCAGGTATTGACTGACTCCAGGGTTTTTTTTTGGGTGGGGGCTGACTCAGTACTTGTGTATTGACCCATTGACGTTGCAGAATAAGAAGTTATCTTAAGCATGTGGTGGTTTAGGCATCTGCTTCTACCCTTTGATTTCTTGCATCAGGGAGCAGTGTTGGAGGACTAGTAATCTGTTGCAGCCTCGTGACCTTTATTTGTATTGTATATTTTTTTTATCCTTGCATTTGGAAGAGTGTTGACTTCCAATTTTTTTTTAATTTCCAGAATTTGTAGTCGTTCACAATGGAATTATTACGAACTACAATGATCTTAAGAAGTTTCTGGTAAGATTGTTATAAAACAGCTTTTAAAAAAGAAAAAAATTCATTGCTCAACACCAAAGTTTTGGAAATTGTAACTATAGTGTTTATGTTGTTGTTTTCCTTCATAGGAAAGTAAAGGCTACGAGTTTGAATCTGAAACTGACACCGAGGTGATTCCTAAACTGATCAAGTATGTGTACGACAACGAAGAATATGAAGACATTGGGTTTTCAACTTTAGTGAAAAGGGTCATTGAGCAACTGGTAAGTAGGAGATTATTTTTATTTGCCTTTAATGGAATACATGGGAACTCCCTTGCAGCACCCTTCGAAATAGCACAGCCTCATTTAGAGTGCAGTCAAGTGTCCTGTGGACCTGTCCACTTAACAAACGTGTGGCACACCTGGCATTGAGTAGGTAGCTTCCTACTTTAAAAAAAGGCCAACTTCTGGGTAATCCGGTCACTGTTGCCGTCACTTTCTGTACACTACACAAGTGCAGGAAGCACCACTAAAGACTCTTTCTAAACTATCAAACTTGATTTATTCCCGTAACAAATCGATAAAATGAACCGTGTGTGAGCCTTGTTTTTGTAATATTTAGTTTCTACGTTTTACTTTTTTACAGTTAGTTTTTTTTTGCGCTACTGCATCCATGGAATTAATTAGTGAGGTTTAAACAAAACCACAAATTCATAATGTGATTTGACCAATTGCCATCGAACATATTGTACTTTTTGGCAAAAATTCATGTTCAATCAAAATCTAAGAACATTGGAAAAGAAAACAAAATGTGCTTTTGGTTCATTTTCACTGTATACCAGGAAAATAAACCTGATAGCCATGTAAAATCCTACTGGGATTTAGTTTCATATGTAACTGGGGGGGTTGGGGGGGGCTTCCATTTCCTGAAAGTGTTTTATGCCTATTACATCACCAGCACAGCTATCTGGAGACTGCTTGTTTTCCCGAAACTAAGTAAGTGTAGTTTTTTTTTTACTGCCCATGTGTCGCAACGTCAAAGAATGCCTTTTTTGTTGCAATTTATAGAGAATCTCTTACAGGAAAATATGTGAGCCTTCTACAGGGAAAAAATGAGTACTTTGATTCATAACGCCTTCTGTATTTTGCTAAACTTGTCCCTTTTGAAATTCAGATTGGTTAAGGTTAGACCATTGTTGATTTCTACATTTAATTTGGCAGGAAGGAGCATTTGCACTCGTCTTCAAGAGCAGTCACTTCCCAGGTGAAGCCATCGCCACTAGGTTAGTGGGAACTTCTGAGTGCTTTGCCTCTTATTATAATGCATTTATTTTGTTTCAATGTACTTTTATTCTTAAGTGAAAGCTCATCAATTTGTAGCCTACCGTTACAACAGCAACTCACATTTATGTAGCGTCCCGGAGCGCTTGACGGTGCAGGAGTCTGACTTATTCTAGAAAAAGAAGTGCATATGGTTAAACACATTTATTATGAGGATGAATTAGTGATGCGTGACCATAACCAATGTTGCTGTGTGCAGCTCTTATTTCTTTTCTAAGCCAATGCTTTAAAAAAAGGCAGTGAATAGAGTCTATTCTTCCAAGTTAGTGAATAAATCTTAAATGAAGGGCTTGTACAAATAATGGTTTCTTTCTGAATGTTGCTGAAAAGAAAACACATAAGGTTGTTATGTCATTCAATGAACAGTGAAATGAAGTGAACCCTAAACAGAGAAGTTTGTCCCGAAATGAAGATCAATGAGTTCGTTTTTATTAATGAGGCCCAGTGCCAATTTGTTAATTTACAAAGTTTGATTTAGGCACATTTCCCAAATACATTACAACTGTCAAGTGTATGTACTTTGTGGAACTTTTTGTTTAAAAAGAAACACTCTTCAACCTCACCTTCGATCGCCTTCCACCCTCCTGATCCCAGCCCCCAGCTCGGATGTATATCCTCCCCTATCCAGCACCTTGGGAAATCTGCCTGACATTAAAGACAGGATACAAATGTAATTTTTCGTTGCTATAAACCAACAAGAATTTCTGAAAAAAGGTTCTGATCCCCTCTCACAACAAAACTGCTTGCTCAAGGTTAAATTTGTGATATCCCAATGTTGTTCTCCATAGGACGTGAGTCTTAACGCATGCTGATTCTGATTTTTGTTGAGATCCCCTGTTTTTTTTAAAAACTCAATTCATATTTATTTTATTTCTCAAATGCCTTTAGACGAGGCAGCCCACTGCTGATTGGCGTTCACAGCAAGCACAAACTCTCTACTGACCAGATTCCAATCCTGTACCAAACACGTAAGTTAATCAATAATAAAGGTTAATACCTTTATTTTAGTACTCAAAGCTTTATTTCATATAGTACTCATCATGTCGCAACATCTTGTTGACTTAAAAAAGTCACTATTTTAATTACTTTTGTTTACTTTAAATGAAATGATTCACTTGTAGATTTTTCAAGTTTTCGGACACTGAGATAATCTAGCTCACGATGCTCCGTTTAAGAAACCTTTATATAGGCAACGTGCATAATATGGAAAGGTATTCTACCGATCCGGGAAACAGTGTAATTTGAATTTCTTCTTCTTTTGAGTCTTGTTTCTTTGACTTCTATCTTCTCAGGAAAAGCAGCAACTACATTTATACCCACTTGTTTGCTTAACCCTTCCTTCAGTTTGCCAGCTGGTTTATCTTACAAAAACAAACTCATAAAAACATTCCCCCTTCTATCCCTGATTGCATCTTGACCATGTTGGTAAAAACGCGACTTGGGTAATAAAGTGCAGCTTGCAAACGGAAAAATAGTGACTGAGATAAGAAGGCTCAACTACCACTAATTCTGGCCCAAGGCCATGTCTCCAATTATGACTCAACACATGTTTCTTACTCTCTTCTCACCTAAAATATCAACCATCTGGTCATGCATCCCTGTCCTCATTAACTGCCAAGAGGTGATTGACCAATTTAATTGGAAGATTGTATATACTGGGAGCAACTCCTCTTCATATACTGTTTTAACATCCACCTGATCAGGCTGACAGGACCTTGGTTTAAAGTCTTGTATGAAGGACTGTATCTTTGCCAATACATACCCCAGCCAGCGTACCAGTGTGGCAGTTTAGACCTAAAAGCTTAGTAGCTCGTCTGTCTCATTTTAATTCCTATAAAATGAGCCAGTTTTATATACCATCAATCCAGAGAATCGTTTTGAAACTCAGTGTGAGATCAGTTGAGAAACCTGACCCTTGATTCTTGGATAACCATACAAAATGTAATTTTATATTCCAGATAAAATCTCGCTAATGTTTACAATTTGAATCAAATGGTTAACCACAAAATAAGATCATTTGAAATGATAATGTGTGACTCCAGAATGGTTGTGGTTTATCATGTGTGGAATGATTTATCCTGTCCTTTCACAACTAACGCTTGACTAATCTGGGCTATGGTAAGATCTAGTCTCTATTTCCATTTGTGTTTCTCCCTTCCCCTCACTGAAATTGCTGATTCACATTGAGATACAGTTGCAGCTCTCGTGGCAATCTTCCAGCATCTCACCCAAGTGGGTATTGTTCATACATAGAGTCTAGACATTAATTGCTGGGAGACTGGGTGGTTGTTGGGGGAAATTTCAGGCAAACCTGATTCTATCCTCACCCAGTATTCAATGAAGTCCACCAAAGACACTCAATAGTTAGACACCTGCTAGCTAATTGGCAATAAGTCTAATTCCACGTTTTGCCCATAAAATATACAGTTAATTCACTTTACATTATATTCTGTGAAGCGCTTTGAGATGTCTCAAAGACAAAGGTGCTGTATCAAATGCAAGGATTATTATTTTTATATTATTGTCCTTCCCTGCTTGAAATCAGCTCGCTGTGCAAGGGAACTGAACCCTTTGTAGTGTGTATGGTTCATTACTCTTGTTAAATTATACACTGAGCCAGTAGGGCAATTGGGAGTGTTTTTTCCAGAAGGGGTTTCACATTTCCTTCCAGTGTGACTTTTTTTGGTTAAAATGAATTTCATTCAATTATCTTAAGTATCTTTAAACCTTCTAGGTAATAATACAAATGCTTGTAAGAAGACGAGGAAAATTGAAACTGAAAGCTCCACATGTTTGTACCCCATCGGAGAAGAAAAGACTGTTGAATTCTACTTTGCTTCTGATGCTAGGTGAGTTTTTTAATCTAGCTTTCCCTTTAAAGGCCCATTTGCAGTCAGCCTAATGGTCTCTGATAACATCTAAGGCTGCTGTATTGGGATACTTTTCACTTACTGATAAATTCCGAAGGATAACTTTAATGAGTTTCTTTGAACGTAGGCAGGTTCATTAAACCATTCAGACAAAATCTGATGCAAGGCTGTTAGAATTTAACGATATAACTGGACCACTTGTTGGTACAGTTGTATAATTTAATTACAAGTCTATAGAAGGGATGAAATGGAAATTCAGAGGGCTTTGTTGCATTATTGCTTGTCTGTTTTGTAACATGAAACTTGCATTCTTAAAAAGAACACATTCAGTCCTATATAAACTAGCTGAGCTATAAATATTAGAAGGCCTTAGTAAATGGGGAAACTGTTTCAAATGGCTCTTGATCAGGAAAAGTGTAATGATATTTCATTGTTGTTACCAGCAAAAGTCTGAGGTAATAGAATACATTTGAGTGACAAAATCAGTTTCTGATTGTCACCAGTGTAGTGGTAACGCACACGCACAGAGTTACGACATTAATGTCACTTGTGTGTCAGCCTGGTGCAGCGGTAGCTCTCTCGACTCTGAGTCAGAAGGTTGTGGATTTAAGTCCCACCTCGGGACTTGGAATCACATAGTCTAAGATGACACTCCAATGCGGTTTTGGCAGGGTTGGAGGTGCTGTCCTTTGCATGAGATGTTAAATCAAGGTTCAGGTAGACATCAAAGATTTGAAAAGAGAAGAGAATTTTTCCCAGTGTCCTGGCCAGCAATCCCCTAAATAAAATTGGCCACTCACTCCATAGCTGTTTGTGGTACACTGTCATGTGCAACTAACTGGCTGTTGTGTTTTGTCCACAAAATACAGTCAAAAAACACTTTACAGTAAATCCTGTGGAGCGCTTTGAGACTTCTGGACTATGAGCAAGTGCTCTATGAAATAAAAGTATTATGTTTCAAACAATAACGTTAAATATTCAAAGGCGTCTTGCTGATTGGATATATTGTCGCGGCCTCTAAAATTGTTGTTTTTAACAGCGCGGTCATTGAGCACACAAACCAGGTCATCTTCCTGGAAGACGATGATGTCGCTGCAGTGGCTGAGGGTCAGCTTTCCATTCACCGAGTGGAACGATCAGTAGGAGGGGTGACCTCGAGAGCCATACAGACTCTCCAGATGGAGTTGCAGCAAATTATGAAAGGCAAGAAAGTCGATTCCCGAAGTAGAATTGCTGATATCAAAGAATGAATCTGTATTCATCTGATGCTCGTCGACTGAATGCTTTTTAAGGTTTCAACCAAGTTTTTCCGAGTAAAAGCATCAGTAGCTGGTAAGCATCGTGTTGTGAAGAGAGCGAGAGAGAAGAGTAATGGGAGGTGTTCTGTGGGACTGAGTTGGCTCCAAGGTTGACTCTTTTGGCAATGGAATATTCAGTCGACCCTCTGTGGTGTTCTCGGTAATCTGGTTTGTGAGTCAGGCTCTGGGAGTACTGCAGCCAAGCAGTTAAACTAGTTGCCCTCCTGTGGTGCTTCAGTGACATCAGTAATCCCCCCTGCTCCTGAGCTCTTGTTAACCTTCGCCTACAATTTGATGCTATTAGGTCATTAGGGTGCGTCGCAAATCTTATCAAGTACAGCGTTTGTGGAGCCCAATATTTTCCCTAATGCCTTTGTATTGTTGCTCTGCTGTTGTACTTAGTCATACGATAAGTATCCTGTAGTTCAGTTGCTCTCCCGATGACAGATCACACCTAAATTGTTACGATTGCTTTCCCCTTCTGAATCGGACTTGCTGTATATTTAGCTCAGACTCCAGAGAAGTGACCAGTCAATCAAAACGTAATCAAAGCAGCTTAAGCAGGAGACTTACTAAGTGTTGGAAAACTTGGAGTGAGGAAATTATCAAGGTGTATTTTTTTAAATTAAAAAAAACAATCTTATCTTTGATCCAGGTAACTTCAAGGCTTTCATGCAGAAAGAAATCTTTGAGCAGCCGGAATCTGTTTTTAATACAATGCGAGGAAGAGTGAATTTCCAGAGTAACCGAGGTAATTAATGTCCGCTTCATCTTCACCAAGATTATCTGGAATTTGAACTTGGTTATAAAATGAAAATGTATTGATAATTTGAAATGATTTTGAGGTCATATTAAAAATCAGTGCCTTGAACATTATTTCCATAGTACACCAAGGTTTTCAGTTATTCATTGTCTTTGGTTTCAGTTCTCCTGGGTGGTTTGAAAGATCACCTGAAGGAAATCAAAAGATGCAGACGCTTGATATTAATTGGTTGTGGGACCAGTTATCACGCTGGAATGGCAGTAAGTTTGAGGATTTCCCATTGGGAAAATTAATTCTACACTATGCGTAACAGCAAGCCAATTACCCGCAAGTATGTATTCTTTAGATGGTTAGCTTTCAATAAAAGTTTTTACTGTTCCCATTAAATGCATAAACAGATGAAAAGGTAATCTAAGAAGCATATAAATTTACAGCACAGAACTTACAGCATTTGACCTGACATGTTTGTGCTCGTTCTATTGAGAGCACTCAATCCACGACTGTTTGTGGCTGTCGCATTTTGTCCACAAAATACAGTCACTGCACTTTACAGTGTATTCTGTGAACGCTTTGAGACTTCTCGACGATGTGTTAAGGTGCTATATCAAATGCAAGGATTATTTTATTAATAATATTGTGAACTTTTCTCTTGTGACCTGTTTTTGTTTCTTCAATGAAGACACGGCAAGTCCTGGAAGAGCTGACGGAACTCCCAGTAATGGTTGAACTTGCAAGCGATTTCCTCGATCGAAGCACTCCTGTTTTCAGAGACGACGTCTGCTTTTTTATCAGCCAGTCAGGTGTGTATGTGTTTAAAATTTAGTTTAAAACTCCATTGCTGCTGCTTCCTTATAATAATGCTTTTTGTGTTGTACATTTATGCACGCTTACATGAGGGAAATGTATCTGTTGCAGTTGTAAAGAGGTGAGAATTGCTGATTTACCTACTTTTTGATTACATGTTCGATTTATCATCAAATTAGTTTTGTCATTAAATAAATGATCATTTTGTTGCAAATTAACTGCATAAACACGATTGCGCTATGGCGGCTTAATGGATTTTGTAGCCTTGGTAGATATTGTATTTCTGTTAATTGATTTCTAACTCATAATTTTCCTAAAAGGTGAAACTGCAGATACCCTCATGGCCCTGAGATACTGCAAGAGTCGTGGTGCGTTGTCTGTTGGTGTTACAAACACAGTTGGAAGCTCCATTTCACGAGAAACCGATTGTGGAGTGCACATTAATGCAGGACCCGAAATTGGAGTGGCAAGCACAAAGGTCAGTAACTACTTCTTTGCAATGCAAATATGTAACTCCTACTGGAGATTCTAACCGAGTACGGTACTTCATGCCTGACATATCCCCATTGAACATCGTGCTAGGAATTCGTGCCTCCCATTTCATTAACCTTTCAGCCCTGAAAGCTATGTAGAAACGCCTTATCTCCAGCCTAATTTCCCTCAAAGACGCAATGAGTTTTAAAAAAGTGATTGATTGGGCAAAATACCTTTTTGAATATTTTGGACATGTTCTGTATTTATTTCTGAGGATTTAGTTGAATGTAGGATTTAAGAAATCATTTTTTTATTTAAATTAAATCTTTATTACCATCTACCATTGCAGATGGTTTCAATGAGAGAATAGCTGGTGTTTATACCTAATATTAAGATTAATTAGCTCTCATGTTATTGCCAGCAGGACCTACTGCATTTGTGGTCATCATGCTGTTTGTGTGGATCTCTCTGCTGGAGGTGCTCTACTCTAGGATTCCAGGCAGATCGTTCCAAAAAATTTTTGTTTTGAAATTGGATGCTTCAGGGAGGGAAACTGGAGAAAACCCAGAGACCGAGAAACTTTACGCAGAGGAGGCTGTTAGCGTTGACATTTTGGCGAGGATGATATGCACAGCTGTAACTGATCAGTTTGCCTTCCCCTTCTTAAAAACTGTGTTCGCTAGTAATTTTAAATGTTTTCAAATCTAGCACAGTGTGTTAGTGTGCCAACATATAATAAATGAAAGGTTAAGCGAGGTGATACCTGGCAAAACATCAACTTATGGCAATACTCTAAAACTGAATCCTTATGGTAGCATTAAAATCCAATCGAGTGAATGAGTTCTGCGTAGACTCACTGAACTGTCCCCATTACTACAGCAACTGCTTGGATTTATATACTGGCCTTCACATAGAGTAATGTCTTGGAGCACTTTACATACATGGTGCTGGACATCCTGCGGGGTGTGGGGGTTGGGGGAGGCACAGTCAGAAAGGCAGTTGTTTAGGTGGCTTTTGAAGACTGATGCAGAGGAGCAATGTGGAGTAGAGAAAGGGAGTTTCAGAGCATGGTAGCATGGTGACTGAAGGCTCGACCGCTGATGGTGGGGATCCACATTCTTAGAACTGAATAAGACATTTCAAGTAGTAATCATCAGATTAAATTTTTTTTCATATGAAATGCAACATTTAAAGTACTTTATCTTGTATTATATTTCAGGCCTACACCAGCCAGTTTGTTTCCTTAATCATGTTTGGCCTCATGATGTCTGAGGATCGTATCTCGATGCAACAGCGGAGAAAGGAGATCATCTGTGGCCTGCATTCCCTACCAGGTGAAGTCTTGTTCAACGTTAATATAACCATCTGTGCTATTGTTCAACTAGATGATATATTTATCAAATCCATCATTTCTTCATACGATTTAAAACCCCATTTCCTATTCAGTGCTTGTATATGTATACTTATCTCGTGGGAGTGTAAATGTCTTGTGATATTTCAACGTTGCACACCTGGGTTTCTCCAGATCAAATGCAGTTTATATTTGCACGACTTTTGTTTTTAGTTTAACCTACCGTTTATTCTTTCCAATTAATCCCCAGACCTTATTAAGGAAGTTCTGTCCCTGGATGAAAAGATTCAGCAACTGGCCCATGAGCTGTTCCAGCATAAATCCCTCCTGGTTATGGGACGTGGTTACCATTACGCCACATGCCTAGAAGGAGCGTTAGTAAGTCGATCATCTCCAACTGTATTCCTTGGTTCATAATTAGTCACCGTTTGAGGCCATGTTGTGAAGCTTCGTGGTGTAAATGAGGGAGTGTTCCATTGTCGCAGGTGCCACCCTTAAGATCGGGTTAGGGTTAGTCCTCTGTTTTCCTATATTTGGGTGCTCGTTACAGTTTCCTTGGTGTGTTCAAAAAGAGAAGATGGTTTCATCCAGGAACCCGGCCAACAGTCCTCCAGGTTAATCGGCCATTCACCTCGTGGTGGGCCCCAAGGCCACATTTATGTCTAAAAATGTCTAATTATTGTGACGTGCTTTGCAATGTTTTGACATGTAAAGCACTATAAAAATGCAAGTTCTTCTTTCTCTCCACATGTATTTCTCAGCACATTGTATATCTTGGCTTCTCTTGCTCTCCATCTTCTGTTTCTCAATGCTAGGAATGTCAGTATTTATTTTCTGGATTACACCACTAACTGTTTGCTTATCCCTTGCTTAAACTCATTGCATTGGTAGAGAGCATTTTAGATTATCCTTCTATGCAGTTTGAGCCCATTTATTAGATTCATATTATTATCTGTATTTTGCAAACTTACTTTGCTTAAAATTAAATTTTATTGCTGTAATTCTAATTCACATTTTCTAATGTTAATAAGCACAACATATCTAGTTTATTAATTGTTTGTTTGGCAAAATATTGACTTTTGTAATTATATAACACCACTTTATTTTGTTCTATTAACAGAAAATCAAAGAAATCACTTACATGCATTCTGAGGGGATCTTGGCTGGAGAGCTGAAACATGGCCCTTTGGCTTTAATTGATAAGCTAATGCCAGTTATAATGGTGGTCATGAGGGACCCTTGCTACAACAAGTGTCAGAATGCTCTACAACAAGTCACTGCCCGACAGGTACACCTGCTATGACCGTCGAGCTTTTTCTTTTGTCTAGGGAGACAGACATTTGTTTCAAGCACCATTTAGATAGATTCCTGCTAGAAAATAATATCTGAGGGACACAGTATGTAGTTTGGGACACGACATGTCAAGCAACTGCCAGGATGGTGGAAGGTGAACTAGATAGACCTTGGTCTTCTTTTGCCAGCAAATTGTTATGTTCTTAATATTGTTCTAGTTTTGGATTGTCAGTAATAATATAATACCACCTGAAAATATGGGGCATAAATCAGACTTGTGCGAGATATTTTATAATGGAATTTTTAAAACAATTATCCATCTGTTCGCATTGCTGTAGAGATTTAACCTCCGAATTCACATCATAATAGATAAAATGATTATTCAGCCTGGATTAATTAAAAAGTCAACCAAAAGATTTTCGTAGATTAATTTGACTTGCATCTCAATTCAAAAATTAAATTTAGCAAATCTAAATTAATGAAAGACTAAATCTCCATTTGTATAGTGTATTAACTTTATAATAATCAATGTGCACTTGTTAACGCTATGTAATGCTTACTGTTTCTTGTAGGGCCGTCCAATAATACTCTGTTCGAAGGATGATCAGGAGAGTATGAAATTTGCGTACAAGACCATTGCGATTCCACATTCAGTTGACTGCTTACAGGGTATCCTCAGCGTCATTCCTCTTCAGCTTCTTTCCTTTCACTTGGCTGTCCTTCGAGGATATGATGTGAGTTTTGCATTACTTAATAATAATACTAATATTACTTAAGATGTTCTGCTCTTACTATGTGCAGATGGGTTTTGATTAGTTCAAATTGTTCACTACAACAACAAGCTGTTATGTTATGTAGCCAACATGCTTCGCTATTTTAAATTTGTTCAGCCTAACTTTCCTTCTGCACTTGAGAGTGTGAATATTTTCTTTGTTCTGTTCTTTTTTTGTAATCCTTCAAAAAAAAGTGCTTTGAAAACATTTCAATCATGCGATGAGGTGCGATATCAAATGCAAGGATTATTATTATTAGGGAGTACTAATGTTTCTGGTGATTGCACGAGTTGGGATGAAGGATAGACCATGCATGACCTGAGGAAGATACAGGTTTGTTAGGCCAAATGGTCTTTGCTTCTTCCATGCAGGCGTGTGATGAGGCGCTAATTCCAATGCAAGGATTATTATTACTATCATTTGTATTTATTGAAATAAGCAACTAACAGAAATGAATTTCTCATTTCAGGTTGACTTCCCTCGAAACCTAGCCAAGTCCGTTACTGTTGAGTGAAACAGCTGAACAGCCCAAGCATTGAAGACCAATTTTTTTTAAAAGTTTGGTCAGTTTATCTTTGCTTTGTGGTGTTGGTGTTTACCGAATGTGAAGCGTACAACTTGATGCCGATCCTGTGTAATTGGGACCGTGTGAATTGATATCAATTGTGAGAATTGCAGATGTGCTTTAAAATCATTAGTTTGTAGTAATGTGAATGCTATAAAGTGCCTCATTGTATGTTCTCGGTGGAGACTACAACTCATTCATGTAGCTGCCTTGTTTTGAAAGTTGGGAGGAAACATGTTTACAGATGCTGCATAGAATGAATCCATACACTGTGCAATATTTACAGCTTGACGCAGAGATGCACATGTAAGATTTTTAAATCTTGTCGTACTTTTCTATATTATACGTGGCTTTTTAGATTATTTATGACTGCATTAATTTTTATGTTTGTCAAAGGTGTCCTTAGTGATTGTGCTTGCTGAGACTGTACTTTACACCAATGTATTTTTATTTATGTAGCGGCAATTTAAACAAAATTGAGTTTGTAAGTAAAGTATGAAGGGACTGTTTTGCAACTCATTTCATTATCATACATGAGGAATTTTTAAATTGCTAATGCTATGTAAGAGCCAAATTATTAAAATATATATGATGCATTATACAACATCTTACAAGTTTTTTTTTTAAAGCCAAGTTCATTGAGAAACATTCTTGGATGAAACCCCACCTTTCTGTTCAGGTGGATGTTAAAGATCCCATGGCATTCTTCAGTGAGTTTCTCAATGTCCTGGCCATTGTCATTTCAGGGGAAGCATTGACGTTTTACTGAGGACTGGTGTAGGAATTGCTCCTTGGATGTAATGTGCGCATGGTGCTCAGTTAAAGTATGACTTGATATTTCATGAGTCAAATCTCCATGAGTCGCGCTCCTGCTGTTCAGTGCGCTTCTCAGTCCCCACCTGCAATACCGCATACAGCTCCAGTCGAAAATAGGATCGAAAATAATCAATACTTTTGAATGCATCACAGACAACACAATACAGGTTAAAGGGTGTAAAAGGCAAACCCCTGGAAGTGTTCATTAACCTAGTAATTACTGCCAGGACGCTACACGCATTTAAGAAATGATAATTCCGGATGAAATCAAATGATCTGACGGGTTTCTTAATCTAAAAGTCTTGCTTTTATCGTCCTTCTGATGGACCTCGAAGGGGGCATTTGGGATGATGATGGTGGGGATGGTGATGATGATGGTGGGGATGGTGATGATGATGGTGGTGGTGATGTATAAAGCACCAACATGGCAAAGCCCTAAAATGAAGACAGTGCAGTGTATTGGGGGGTTGGGTGTCAGCCAATCCTCACCCCCTCGCCATTGTGATTGGCTGCGGGAGAAGGGGGAACCGGTCATCAATCCAGGGCTGGGTCAGGCTGTGACGCTTGGCGAGGGGGACACGGTGACGCATGGGGGGGGGGCCACAGTGGGTGGGATTCACGCCCAATCGGGGGCGTGGTTTTGGTTGCACGACTTCATTGCTTTTCAACAACAACAACATGCCATGTACAGAGCGCCTTTCACGTGGGGAGGACGGCCCAAAGCGCTGGACAGTCAGGGTCGGGACCCAAGCCTGGGGGGAGGGGTGAGAGAAGGCGGAGAGGTGGGAGGGAGACCAAAGGCACGGTCCAAGAGAAGGGTCTTGAGACCGGCCTCGAGGGAGGAAGCGAGGCCACGGGACCGCGGGATGGAGCTCCGGAGTGGGGGGGGGGCAGAGAGGCTGAACGCCCGACCACCGATGGTCGGGCAGGTTGGTAGGGAGTCAGCAGGTCAGAGAGGGAGGAGGGGACGAGGCCCGGGATGGCCTTGAAGGTGAGGACCAGGGTCTTGAACGCGGATCTTCATGTAAACACAAAAACCCTTTTTTTTTCATATTTCCCTCCAACCTCGTGAAGGCTCCTTTTCTGACACTGTTTCAGAAGCACTTCAACCTGTGCCGGTCACCCTCTCTGCTCAGCCCAGTGCAGACTGATTGCTATTATTGTCATTATTATTATTATTATTGTCATTATTATTAGTAGTAGTAGTAGTATTATTTATTGGGCTACTTTTTGGGCGGGACTGTTTGTTTGGGCGGGACTGTTTGGGCGGGTTTGACTGACGAACGGCTCGACGTGACGTGACGCGATGACGTATGAGGCGGCGCGGAGGCGGGAGCGTTGGGGGCTGGATGACGTATTTGTATCGCGGGCGGACCACACCCCCCCCCCCCACCCACCACACCCCCAGCCACGCCCCACCACCGGGACACCACGGCGCGACGTGATGGCGTATGCCGCGACGCGACGACGCAGAGACGTACGTGACGGCGGGGCGGGAGGGAGGGAGGCGGGAGTTTGCGGCGCTCGAGCGACCATGGCTGTCAGCCGCTGAGCGCGAGCCCAACGCCTTCTCCTCACGCGCACGGACGGTGTGGGGCCCTGACTCCCGCCAACGGCCAACGTCTCCCTCACGGCGGTTTTTTTTTGGAGAGGTGGGGGGCGACGGCGGCGGCGAACGGTCGAACGAACGTGTGCGGGGAGTGAGCGAACAGGAGGGGGAAGTGGCCTTCACTTCACTGACCCCCCCCTCCCCGCCCGCCCACAGCCCCTGTCTCTCCGCGCGTGTCTCTGGTCTCCGGCCCGCGGATGGGGTGAGCGAGCGGAGGTAGGTGATTAAATCGAGGCCGCTCCTGAGGGAGGGAGAGGCCTGGGCCTGACCCTCCCTCCCTCCCTCCCTCCCTCAGCCCCTCTGTGGCCCTCCACGTACACCGTAACTGTACACCCGGCTCCCGGGAATGATTGGTGGTGGTGGTGCTAACGGCGGTGGTGGTCGTCAAAAGTAATGCCTAATTAATAATGATAATACAATCGTAAAAGTAATTGATGATGATCCTCGCCTTTGATATGCAAAATGCCGGGGCTGCCTTGTGGCTGCTCTCCCTGTCTCACTCTCACTCTCACTCTCTCTCTCTCTCTCTCGTATTTTGTTTCGCCCACAAAACAAATATATATTACATATATATATGTATACACACACGCGCACACATATACACAGTCACTACACTTTACGGCCTGTCCCGAAATACAACAACAGCAGCAGGATTGCATCTATAGAGCGCCTTTCACGTCGGGGAGGACGTCCCAAAGCGCTGGACGGTCGGGGAGGGGATGTGATGATGATGATGGTGGGGTTTGGGGGGGGGTCAGGACGTCTGGGAAGACGTGATCAGGAGCTGTATCAAATGCAAGGATTGTTGTTGTTTATTCCTGGTTGAATGGGCAGGACCCGTTTCTCCTTTCTCTCTCTCGCTCTCTCTGTCCGCCTTCCTCCCTCCCTCCCTCCCTCCCTCCTTCCCTCCCTCCCTCCCTCCCTCCTCGCCCCGGATTAAGGTTTAAAGGTTGAGGTTCGAGCTGTAAAACCACGGATCCCTCTTGTGCAGCGCCTCCTCGCGTTGCGGTTTTTTTTTTTTTTTGCTTAGGCCGCCGATAATCCGCCAGGATCCACGACGCAGTGTCGTCACGGTGTCTTGGTTGGCGATGCGGCAGACGGTTGGGTATCCCCCACAGTCAGCAATTTGCGTTTCGCCCACAAAATACACAGTCACCACACAGTTACAGTACAGGCGGTGAAGCGCTTTGAGACGTCTGAACGACGTAATAAGGTGCCAATGTCAAACGCAAGGATTATTATTATTATTTATACAGAGCCCTTTGCACAGGAAAGCATCCTTGCAGCGATGCTGAGCAAGGGACGAGAGGGAGGTGACCGTAGGCACAGTTGAAGAGGTAGGTATTGTGGTGGAATTCAAAGAGAGAAGGGGTGAAGCGAACCAAATTTTATTGGACCTGGGATCACAACTAAAGACAGAAAGGTAGATTTGAGTGTCATTCCACATAGATGTGAAAGTTAACCCCATTTGTGAATGTTGCCACCAATTATCATTATAATGATATACTGTAACATATGATAAGAATACTCTAGATGAGGAAATGGAAGAGGCTAAGGATGGAGCAAAATTGATGGACCAATTTTTATCTGGGGGATTATTGGCCAACAACAACAACAAGATTACATTTGTATAGCGCCTTTCATGTCGGGAGGACGTCCCAAGGTGTTGAAAATGACAGAGTACAGCATTTCAGACCCGAGCTGGGGTCGGGGGGAAGGGGGGTGGCCGATGGCATGGCCGAAGAAGAGGTCTTGAAGCGGGACTTGGAGGAGGCGAGGCGGAGTGACTGTGGGATGGAATTCCAGAGGTGAGGGGCAGAGTGGCCGAAGGCTCTCCCGCCAATGGTGGGGCGGGTGGGTCAGGGGACGCGGAGCAGGCCAGAGCCGGCTGAGCAGAGGGAACGGGCGGGTTGATGAGGGGTTAGGAGGTCGCAGAGGTAGGGTGGGGTGAGGCCATGGAGAGCGTTGTATGTGAGGCCAAGACCTCGGGGGAAAAACTCCCTTCTCTTTTTGAATGAGGTAATTAACGTGCACCTGAACAGTCAGAAGGGACATGGTTTAACGTCTCAGCTGAACGATGGCACCTTCCAACAATGCAGCACTCCCCCAGCATTGTATTGGTGTGACAGCCTAGACTGCTGTTTCAAAGTCTTGACTTTAATCTGTAGTATTTGGTGGAAAGCAGAACATTGTAATTGTTAAATTGTTAAAGCATCGATACGGATGTTTCCTTTCCCTGTTAAAGATTTACCTAATTATTTTGTTGCATCATTTTATGTGAAATTATATTGTCCCTCTCCACGGTTTTCTATGTGTAAATTACATTTTGTATAAATCATAAACATTTGCATGCAGGTTTTGTAGTCTGCAGCCAGCCATAAATGTTTTTATGTAGAACTCTGGCTTTAAGGGATACATGTTTCATTATATAAAGAAAATTTTATTTTATTTTGATATGATTTGCACAACGTTTTTGCATGCTTTCCAGCAGTGGTTTTAGGATGACACATTCCTATTTTTTCATGAAATTTTGCCTGTTCATTCAAATTCTCTATTTTTTGTTGTTAAAGATATGTCTTTCATCCATTAGTGAAAATTTTCAGAATCCTTTTCACCATTTTGCAATTTAGTGTTGTTACAAACTGCTTTTGCTGTAATGTTCACTGCCTGGACTTTATTCCACCTCTTTTATAGCCTGATCTTTTTTCTCTTGCGCTTAGCATTTTATCAGTGTGTTGTGGTCCTTTAACCTGTTGTAATGTAATCCTATTCCTTATCGGATAAGTTCCATATCACTGTCTGTTTTGCAAATTCTAGATTTTCGTATAATCTCTAGAGGAAACATTTTAATAATCAATTTGACTGATCAGGAAGATACTCTAAGGTGAAAGTTGCCCTTCAGTGTGTGTTATCAAAAGATAAGACGCCAAACTAGAAAGAGATCAAAAAGATTAAAATTAGATTGTTAGGGATTACTATTTGCAGTTTCATTAAATCTAGTGTTATGTAAAGTATTGGAATCACCGTGCATATTCTTGGGGTTCAATGACTATTCAAGTAGCTTTTGAACTTCCTATCATAGTATGTTTAAATGTTTCCGTGTTCCTACCCATATTTATTTGTTGGAACAAATCAAACTTAAAACTTCATGGTTAGTGATACTGTACATTAACACGTTGCAGTGTGCACAAACTGACATTCAACACTATCATTCAATTAAATCTCTGTTTGTGAAATACATCTCTACTGAGCAAATTATGTCAATTTTGGTATGGTAAATGACTAAGCAATTGGGAGTTTGTCATCCATTCTATAAAAGCCCCTTTGGCAAAAAAANTTAATATAAAGGTTGTACTGGAATCACCAAATAACACACAGACTGCACTGTTAGAGAGCAACATGCCTTTGGTTGATGTGGTTATAATAAAGGTCTCATCTTACTCTTGTATTGATGCTCTGTAAAGCAACTAGTTTGCATATTTTTTTGAGACTGCAAGCAAATCGTTGGATAGAAATGGGACATCGTAGAGTGTGATCCCATGTTCCAAAGCACTCTAAAATACATTTTTGTGTGTAAAATGAATGTAATGTTGGATGCAGAAGTAGTTGTTGTAGCTTATTAAACTATCCAAATTGTCTTGCCTTAGACAAAGTTTGCTTTTACTACCCTTTCATGCTCTTATTTGTCCACGTAAAGGATAAGGTGCATATCAGTTGATTTCCTCCTTGTGTTCATATTAACAATTTAATTCAAATCTCGTATCTTAGTTCTTCTGTGAAGTTTTTTTTCCATCAATTTGTAAGGCATGAGTTTGTCTGATACGCTTCCATTCTCATACACCGGTTTTTGACCTTTTTCCCCCACCTGTTTTGCTATAATTTTTTTCCAACAAGTTCTATTCTTTACCAACGATCACTTCATAATATAAATGTCATGAGCTCAAGATAAACTGACTAAGTAGTCTGGCATTTCATCTGTTCAATTATTGCCCCAAGTAGCCACTATATTTTTGGAATCTGTAATTGACTAAATTATACATTGTGGTCATGTACTCGCACCACTCAGGAAAATGTATTTGTTCCATTTTAAATATAGGAATCATTGTTTGAAAAATGTAATTCGAAATGTCAGGGGAATAAATATATTGTTATGCACTTTTGTAAATGAACTTGCGATTTTAAAAAAAAATGCAAGTGCCTCTTTTTTTCCAAACTGCATGGTTTATTTTCGTTGGGAGTTGATTTACCAATGTGTGTGGTCAGTCTAAGCATGGTTTGTTTTTAGTCCGGTAAACAGCCTGCTGATAGACCAATGCGATTTCATTGCGGTTTTTGACTGAGGTATTGATTCAAAATCCCATGTGATAATCCTTCATTTGCTCATTGACCCAACACTTAGACATCTGGTTACCATTCCTATAAGTGATAAAGTGAGATTACATTTCTGTTGTGAGTTAAGTCTTAGATAAGTCAGGTGTTCGATAATAATAATAATCCTTGTATTTGATATAATGCCTTATCATGTCGTCGATATGATGCAAAGCGCTTCACAGAGAATGCTGGAGTGTGAATTTACTTTATCTTGTGGGCGATATGCGGCAGCCAATTGTGCTTGGTGGACGTATTGCTGTTAATGGATCATTCTGACCCAGACACATGTCTCACTCCTCTTTCAGCCTTAGTGTTTTACTACATCTCATCCATTTTTCCATGCAGCCCAACATACAACATACCTGAACACGTTTATAGGAATAGTCTACGATACAGAGATCGTAAGGTAGCAAGCGTGGACCTTGGGAAGAAGTTGCCACCAACCACTACCTGGTAGAAGAACTGGCATTAAAACTGAAGTGCCACTCAGGAGGTAGGCCGAAGTCTCAGAAAAATAGCGGTTTATTAGTTTGATTAAAAGCCAAGGACTCAATCATTTGGTTCTTTTGTTCTAGGGTGGTTATTACTTTCTAAAGATTCCATTACAGAAGACACTACAACATGGGTGAAACTAATAGCGACACTGAATTCTACAGTGTCCAAGTTGGTGATTCTACCTTCACAGTTCTCAAACGATATCAGTCATTGAAGTCCATAGGTTCGGGGGCTCAGGGGATTGTATGGTAAGTAACAACAACACAAAGGCAGTGCATTTTCTGTGGTTTTCATTACAAAACAATTGAATCTGTTCCACATACTGTAGCTAGTACTCTTGGGAGGGAGGTGGGGCAGACCAGAGGAAAGGGAGTTTTGCCTGAGCCAGGGTAGTTTTTAATCTATGGGTAGATTTCTTCTCTCTCCCCCGACCCCCCCCCCCCCCCCCCCGTCCCTTCTGAATCAGTGGTGCATTAAGACCAGCTTTGTTTCCTATTTCTTTGAACAAAGTTGGTCAAATTATCAAGTTCACCTTGTGAACATCTTCTTATCTCTTAGACTTTTCACTCTCATATTCATGTTTGTCAGATGTAAGGTAAATTTCCGTATGTATGCTGGTGACACCCAAATATAACTCTCAATAGCTTCACATTAGAATCTTTTAGTCAATAATCATTTAAACTATTTTCTCCTCCACCTCTGCAAATAGAAATACTGAATGTATAGATGTTTAATGTTTTCTCTTCAAAGATATGCTTGTCTGCATTAAAATCTATCTACTACTTTTCCCATCTGCTGCATTGGTTCAAATCATCAGGTATGATGTCTTTTCTATCTGGCCTAGTCACCTGGACATATACAGTAGCTTGGTATCATTAGCAAATCATTTATGAACAGCAGGAGACCCATAATGGACCCTTGTGGAACTCTGCTTCTCACTACCCCCCCTTCCCTCCTAATATGCCGATTACATTTTATTTAGAAAAAATATTAAACCTACTTGATCACCATTTCAATACTCATTCAGTGCTCCTACAATTCCTTGTGTTTTTTTAAAAAGTAAACTACCTGTTATCTCTGCAGTAAATGAGAAATGTCCAATAAATTGCAGGAGATTTATCTATTAACTTTTTTTAAAAAAATTACAGTGCTGCCTACGATAGTGTGCTCGATAGAAGTGTTGCTGTTAAGAAACTCAGTCGACCGTTCCAAAACCAGACTCACGCCAAGAGGGCCTACAGAGAACTTGTTCTTCTTAAATGTGTCAATCATAAAAATGTAAGTTAGGTAACTTGTTCTGATCTCTGAAGAGTTGAGCAGCTCATATCAAATTATGTTGTATAAGAAAATGCTAGTCTTCCAGTTCAAGTTTGATAAACTGCAGAAGTAAAGAATTTAAATTTAACCTGTGCTTTGCTATGTGCTTTACGTCTTGCTCGCATTTTAGATTTTATAAATACAGCAATTTATGCCGAATGCTTGTCTTTTGCATGCAGTGAACCTTCCCTTTTCATTTTTTTTTAATACGTTTTGAAACTAAGCTTATTTGCATTTGAAACATAGTTGATGTGATCTTATTATGTTTGAGGGAGAGTCAGTAAGCAAAAGTCTGTTAGAAAAGTGCACTACATATCTGCTTTCCAACTGATTCCAGAATCAGGTGTGAGTTTTTTTTATGTGACCATGTAACTTTAAAGATAAACTGCTTGAACTGAAAAAGTAAAATAATTTGCACGGGTCAAGAGGCTCTTTTCCAATAGTTAAGGAAATAGTTTGCAGTGAATCCAGCTGAATTTTAATTGGATGTTTTATATTTTTCTATTAGCTGAAGTGTTCACATACATGATTTAGCACAAAAAGAGAGGAAATGTTAGACTGGTAGAAAATATGTTTCTCACATACTTCTGCTTTTAACCTGGAAATTCACACTCTGAAAGTTATTCTCTTTCACTTGGCTTGCTGGCCATTCCTACATTTCCCCTATTTGCTCTGTTTACATTATACTTGTGGTGTGTGATGAAATGTTTACATTGTTCTGCAGGAATCCACTTGCTCTCACTCCTATACCTCTATATTGCATCAACACACAGCAGCATTTGGGGAAAAAATAGGGCTGATTGTGGTTGACTAATTTCTAACTCAGCTGAAAATAAATTTATACTTTTATACATTTCAAAACTCTATTCAGATAGAACAGATTTTTTAATGATTCTTTCATTACTTCTTTTTCATTTTGCTCATGAGAAGCCACCAGATCTTATCTGAACTTTCTGAAGCACCAGTCTTTTCAGTTTCTTAATTCTGTTTGTGAATCTTTAGTGATCAGCCAGGAGCTATTTATTAATTATCAATGGTACATGAAAGATGAGCACATTGCGTGCCATGATTAGTGTGCAAATGCAAACCTCAACATTTTAATAACTTTTTTCTCTTTTACACAGATTATTAGTTTGTTAAATGTATTTACACCACAGAAGTCTTTAGAAGAGTTCCAAGATGTGTAAGTATTGGGTTGTTTGTGTGAAAGAATTTATAATTTTTCCTTGTAGAAGAATAATCTGTCATGTATTCTGCAACAGTTATAACTATCATAATTTTATTATTCTGTAGTTACTTGGTTATGGAGTTGATGGATGCCAACTTGTGCCAGGTTATCCATATGGAGCTAGACCATGAAAGAATGTCCTACCTTCTTTACCAGATGTTATGTGGTATCAAGCACCTTCACTCTGCTGGCATTATCCACAGAGTAGGTACTCAGGATTTTGATTTTACTATACTTTTTAAACAGATGCACACAATAACTGCACAGTGTCCTATGACTATTGAATGTTCTTAAAGGTATGACATTGCATGCACTTGTGTTCTGTTCCAGCAGAGAACATTTTAATAATAGGAAATACATTATGTTTCATGGTTGTATGTAATGTAATGTAAGAATGTAATGAATGTACATATATACATATTAGATAAAATAACATCAACAACATCCAGCTTGCTATAATTTTTAGAACACAATTTTTAAATGTGAGAAGAGGCAACACATGCCGTGATTCCCAATGTTGGTAGTAATTCATGGGATAAAGAAAGACTGAATAGATTTCTAAGGCAAATTGCTTTGTGTTGGCAACTTCAAAAGATCTGTGACACGCTTCCTTTTTATTACAGGATTTGAAACCCAGCAACATAGTAGTAAAGTCAGATTGCACTCTGAAAATTCTAGATTTTGGACTGGCCAGGACAGCATGCACTAATTTTATGATGACCCCGTATGTAGTTACACGATATTATAGAGCGCCTGAAGTTATCCTAGGAATGGGCTACAAGGAAAATGGTAAGTTACCTCAAGAAAGACTCGTTATTTGAAGATGGGAGTGAAATCGGATATGAATTTGAACTAGTTTGTTACAAAGATTTAGTTGAAATATTTTAGTAATTTCATTTAAAGGAAAAGGCATTAACCACCCTCTAATTTTCACGCAAATAAAATAGGATATCAAAATTTGTTGTTGCCCAAAGGTGAAATGGCATCATTCCCGAATCATTTTATAGTGACTGTAAATAACTAGCTCGTATCGATCATTCTACTCCCTCAAGCCTATCTAGTCAGTTATCTACATCAATATTTACTGTTAAAATCTCTATGATGATGGGGGAGAGGGTAGAAATTCTATAATGCCAAATAGGCGATTCTCCTTCCAAGTTACGCTGTAACATTTTCATAATGTTTTTATTAATTGGGTGGATTCTTCAACAAATACATGTTTTTAAAGTATAGGACTCTGAAGGTTTAAATGTAAGAAGGACATCATTGGAAAAATTGAGTTAAGGATGAAGTTTCTATGTTGATGTTCCAGTTTGGTTGAATTTACGCTGTTAGCTGAATCTGTGTAGCAGGTACTTTTCCAGCCAGAAGTGCTACAATAGATTAATTTCTTCAAAATAAGGTAATTTTTCTTGCAGAATAAAAATTTACAAATATTGAAGCTTGTGTTCAGGTAAATGTAAGCCCACCAGCCTTTTTCCTTATTAATGAAATTAGCATCCTCAGGTTTAAATACTTATAAATTTCACCTCCTATAGAATCTGCCATGAATTTGCTTTTTAAAAATGAAAACCTGTTTTGATAGGACGAATGGTTCCATCGTATTCTGCATGGGTGGTTTTAAATCCACTAAAACATTTAACAAAAAAATCACAAAACGTAAAACCATTTCTAATTTTCATGGGAGTTGGTTCTTAAAGAGTTAAAGATGTGGAAGATGTTTAAATGCCTTTGCACTTTTAATTGCAATTTGTGCAAATATTGTTGGGTATATTAAATAGCTTTTTTTTTATTTCTCTGTTAACTTTATTCACGTAAACCATATAGTGGATTTATGGTCTGTTGGTTGCATTATGGCAGAAATGGTGCGCCACAAAATCGTTTTTGCTGGACGCGACTGTATCCTTGTACACACAGAAAATCAAATTTCATCTGCATTTAGTTTTAACTGCGTACATGAAATGAATGTCTTCGGACTTTTCTGGTATGCCTTTCCCAGACCCTACAATTTGTTACTGCTGAAATATGTTGTTTCTCATTGTGTCCCGATGTATAAATTTCCGTACCTATTTTTTCCTGTTTTTTTGTTTGCTGAGCGGCATGGTAATTATCCATCATTTCATTTTATTTTCAGTTGATATCTGGTCAGTGGGGTGCATCATGGGAGAGATGCTCAAAGGTTCTGTGCTATTCCAAGGCACTGATCGTATCCTTGCCCAGGCATCCTTGAGCCCACAGTCATACACACCAAAAGGCAAAACAATCACTACTGTTTCCCTCCCTTTGAGGAGCAAAAATTGATGTTAAGATGAATGAGGTTATTTTGATGTTTTTTTTTCAATCCTTGTTTTCCAAGTTTTTTTTTTTTGGCATAAGTGTGTTTTTGATCTTTTGCTTATTTTTAATCCTGCTTCTCAACGCTTGGCATGCAGTCCGGCACATTTAGCGCCCTTTGCAAATAGCGCAACTTCTTATTCTCCAAAACCGGCGCATTACTTTCCTTTATGAAACACATACACAAAACAAAATGTGAGCAGCAGCTTCTGAAACTCAGAGTACCAAAATTATCCAATTATCAAATATTGAAACAATATTTTCTGAGGGATATAAATAATTGTGTAATATTAACATATCAATATGTTTTACTTTCACCAGATAAAGTACTTAGACATCTGCATACATCTTCACATCAGTGTGTTTGTTTCAACACTTAGAGAGGAAGTTCTTGTCTTTTAAAGTTGACTTGAATAAGATTATAAGAGCTGTCCCTCCAAAACATTGAACAAATGTAATATAGAAGGCAGTTTGCAGTAAAAATCTGCAGCTGAGGTCATCAATGTAAAACTTTTATATCTAGCAACTCTATCTTACTTAAATTTTCCCTACTTTTGTTTGTTTTATTCGATTTACCATTCCCTCTGCCTATGTTTTCTACATTTCCGTTTTTAAAATCTTCCACAATGGTGATTCTAACCAGGTCACTTCAGATCTGTTTCCTTTTGAATGCTTTTTCTAACATGCATGCAAACCACTAATGTTACAATGCATAGATATCAGATCTTCCATATCACTTTCACGTTACCTTTAGTCATATTTCATAACATTGTTTAATAGCATCAGTGTGTGGTTGTAATTATATAATGCCATGACCAGTTTTCTAAAATATTTTGGGGGAAAATTACTAATAACTTCTAAACATAAAAATGTTTACGTTTTTAATAATTAAACACTGGTTAGATAAAGGCATTATATAGAAGCAGTAATAAACCCAGGGTTTGTATCTGTGGTGATTAAACATATCTTTACTATGTTTAAACTTAGTTTAGATGTTGTCTTTTAATATTAGAAATAGTTTAGTTATATTGTGTGCTGCTTATGAAGATCTTTTTCTAGTTTAATGATGGATAGTGTAATCTTAATTATGAACATTATTTGTTTGTTCTATTCTATGTACTAGTGTTCAGATACCCGAGTAGGAAAATCATCTCTTTGAAAAACATTTAAATTGGATCCCAAAAATCCTTTTCTTTGAGTTACTGTAAAGAAGTATGGAGTAGGGGAGGAATTGTTGTTTGTTTGATAGTGTAGCACGTCTTAGTAGGTGGGAGATAGTATAAAATAACTCAACCCTTGGGGCGGGGAGAAGGAATGGGAGCACATAAAATTGTGGATAATACTGTGGCTTTGAAGTTTCCCTCAGTAAGTGATTTACAAGGTAACCATCTATTGAGAAGGTGCCACAAGAGCAGGAGAGGCTTTACAGTGGTTTAATTTTTGCTTCTCTAATGTCTGGGAGGGTTTTTACCCAACCCATCTCAATTTCCAGCATATTTCTTTAATTAAAACTGGTTTGCAGCTATTATTTCAGATACTCAACCCACTTCACATAACTGCTCAGGATTGTGCAACGCCAGGTTACCATAATAGTACTGTACTATTATAGTATTACTTTATTTCTGAAAATATTTGAAAAGTTAATTCGGTATTTTGGATAGCATGCGAACAGCCAACTTAAAATGGCTGTCAGTCAGATCCATGCTGTGAGAAGATTTGTTATTTGAGATTGACCTTCGTCAAGTATGGATCTCTTCAAAACTGTGGACCTGTCTGGAGTGCAGCATTTGTTAAGCTCTAAGTAGAGATAACAGCCAGTGAATAATGGTCAGGGCCTTCAAGTTGAGGGGCTGTGTTTATTAATAAATATGATTACTTGAGAGTTAAAAGGCAGACACGTCTTTAAGTATAGCTGAAACAGCCTATCTTCATTGATGATGTAGCCTTCTCTGGTATTTCCTAGGAGGGATTACTTTTTATTTGCTTCTTGTACTTAATTTTGATTTCCCTTGCCACGTCTTTGTAATGAATATTTTAAAGAATTGTCACTTTTTAAAAAAAGACAACAAAATGACATGTATAGAGCGCCTTTCACGTCGGGAGGACGTCCCAAAGCGTTGAACAGTCAGGTGTCGGGGCCCGAGCATGGGGAGGGGTGAGGGAAGGCAGAGAGGTGGGAGCGCGACCAAAGGCACGATCGAAGTGAAGGGTCTTGAGACCGGCCTTGAAGGAGGCAAGGTCTATAACTTTTCAATGGGGAGTTTTTGCTAATGAAAAACTGATTATTGAAGGATGTTCAGAGGTGAAATGTTTGTTAGTCCTTTATTCTCTTGCCTGTGACTCCCACCCATTCACATTTGCGAAATGGGTTAGTTATTTTTGGCAAGTTATCAGTAAAGTAACTACAGGTAAATGCATTCAATTGTAAACCACATTAGATATTTTAATATTTTATTACTTGGTATGTGTGCATTTTAGATAAATGATATGCGTTGAGGCCCACGCAGAAATGAAAATCTTATTTAATCAAACTTTAATTGTTGAAAATCAAGTTTGTTGAAAATTGGAATTTGAAAGTCCTAAAGTCAAAAGTTGACTATTGTGGGAGAAAGGTACGTTAGTTGTAGGTATGAGTTTTTTTTTAAAAAAAGAACATTTCCTGAACCAGTTTTATACAGACATTGATCAGTGGAATAAAGTTATTGAACAGCTAGGAACGCCATCTGCAGAATTCATGAAGAAACTGCAGCCAACCGTGCGAAATTATGTCGAGAATAGGCCAAAATATCCAGGGCTTGGCTTTGAAACGTTGTTCCCAGACTGGGTGTTTCCAGCAGATTCTGAACGTGACAAGTTAAAAGGTATGTACAAGTACTTAAAATCGCAGCATATTTGATTGTAACCTATAATTCAATTATAATTGTGCATGCAATATCTTCAGGGAATTTAAAATTGGTATTTTTAATCTTTGTTAGAATATTATTTTTGTCATTTTTGCCATAATCCTTTGATGATTCAGCATAACCCGCCTATTTAAGGAAGCATTCTACAATAGTATCATACAATAATTCTATAGCCGATCAACTTCCTGGTAATTAAATAAAGGGCACAGTGTGTAAAATGGGTGAATCCAAAAAAGATCGCAAAGGTAGTGAGAATGTTGTATTGTATTACAGTAAGTCAGGCCAGAGATCTTTTATCAAAAATGCTGGTAATAGATCCAGACAAACGGATTTCTGTGGATGACGCCTTACAGCATCCGTACATTGCCGTATGGTATGATCCTTCTGAAGTAGAAGCAGTAAGTAAACTACCATTTTTCTTTTTTCTTGTTTCTTTTCTGCATTTATTTAACTGTTTAACGCAACTTCAAGGTGCTAATAGCATTTCCTTTTGGCTATAGCCCCCTCCACAGATCTATGATAAACAATTAGAAGATCGAGAACACACTATAGAGGAATGGAAAGGTACGATTTCCGTTTACTTAAGAGGGGAAAAAAATATTTGCATCTTTTATTTATACATTTTTAAAGGAAATCTGACATTTGCTACTATTTTTAAAAATAAATTTCTCCTTATAATGCTTGGATATATAATAATAATCCTTGCATTTGACATAGCGCCTTCTCACGTCTTCGAGGCGTCTCAAAGTGCTTCACACATTATTCTGTAAAGTGACTATATTTTGTGGGCGAAATAAAATATTAGTTAAAATGGGAAATTCTGCATACAGTTAAAATTACTGAAATTTTCTGTTAAGATTTCAAGGTTTTTTATTCCAAACGGAAAAGTAGAAAGTTTAAAAGTAACAAAAAATCATTTCAAATTTTTTATTTGCATCATTCATTTTTCCTTTCAGCAGAATGAATATTCCCAATGTCAATTTTCACAACGAGATGCATGTTGAATTCAATACTATTTTGTGATTAACAAATGAATGTGCCAGTTAATTCCATTGTGTTAGTTATTTCTGCTCACGCAACTAATGTTCAGTGTTGTTTCAGAAGCAATGAGTTTGTGACTTGTCGGGTAAAGGACAGGGGAATTGTGCAGTTCAAATACACCATTATTACTTCTTTGTTTAGAGCTAATCTACAAAGAAGTTGTGGACTGGGAGGAGAGGAACAAGAATGGTGTTATTAAGGAACATCCCCTTCCCTCAGGTTAGTGATTACGTTTGGTTTAAATCACAATAAAGTCACTTGTTTTGTATTACTGCTCTGTTTTTAATTAATACTTTGCTTTATATACGATTATTACAGTGGACAAGTCATGTGGACCAGTCACATGCACTGTTTGTCCATTACTGCATCTGAATTGTCCCTGAAGTTGATTGTGGCTGAAAATGGACCATTTATGATACTTAACATATGTATAGAGAGATTTGCAGATGGCCTTATACTTGCTGGTCTCATCAGTAACTTGAATGACATTGTACTCAAGGTTTCTTACGTGCTGCATTGGGTGAATTGTGAATGCAATAGCAGCTGCTTGACATTATTTCGCTGTATATTTCTCATTAATTTCAAGATTACTGGAATTCACATGTCAAGCTGTTTCAAAACGAGCCGTGATATTACAAAGATAATGCAAACCATTTTGTAAAAAGCATTTTGAAAGCACACAAGTGCTGATGATCATACGTTTAGTTGAGACGAAGGGCCCTTGGGCCATCTGATCCCATCCTTCCAGAATACCCACCTTCCGTCCTCCCATCACAGCATTGAGATGTTTTTTTTAAAGGAGTGCAATGTCCTGGCCTCAGGCTCGTTTCTTGGTCGTCTGTTTGTGAAGAGTAAGTATGTGAAAAATAAAATTGTTTAACTAGAAAAACTGCTGTACAAGATGACCGTTCTGTGCCTTTCTCAGATTTTATTGCACTTTTTGTTTACTTAGAACAGATGCAGCAGTGAATAGCAACAACTGTCCCTCTCAGTCTTCCTCCATCAATGACATTTCATCCATGTCAACAGAGCAGACCTTGGCCTCAGATACTGACAGCAGCCTGGATGCATTAATAGGACCTCTTGATGGTTGCAGATGATCAGCTGCAAACCTCAGCATTAGCAGAAAGTAGTTGCAGCTACTTTTCTTGGCCTGAATGGTTTTGAACTAATGGAACCAAGTAAAGAATATATATATCTATTGCATGTGCTCTGAACACAATGCCTGTGCTTTTACTCCGTTGTTTACGATTTCCTGTGTTATGTTATAAGTGGCAGGTTAGCAAAATTTGAAAAGGGAATTTATTGTGGGACGTGCATTTGTGCAACTGCTCGAGCTCCAAATTACTTCAGGTGAGCAGAATGTGGATGAACATAAACACCAGAAAGACGGTCTGAGCCCCAGAACAACTACAACAAATTGCATTTATATATATATAAATATATATTATTATATATATATCGCTTTTCACGTTGGGAAGACGTTCCAAATCCTATATGTGAGCAAAAAAAAAGACACTTATGAATATCTCCTTGTAGCAGTTCCACTGGTCAGTTGGTTTTGTTAAATATTGCTTTAATACATTCCAGATATCTGAGGGAGAGAGCGTGGGGTGGGGATGGAGGGAGGAAGGAACTGATAGCACTTTTTTTAAATTTTCAAAGTAGCTCAAATGATTCTTGATTCATTTAGTACATTAATGTGAGGCTCGGGTGCAGGATTAGGGATTCTATCTTAAATATTGATCTTATCTATTGTTATCTTCTACTGAATGCTACTGTTTCAGCTTCTCTGAGAATCATCATTTTTTTGTAGTTTTCGGGTAAATGTATGTTTTTTAAACTCGATGATATTGGTCTGAGTTTGCAGGTGACTGCAATCTGGATCGGTAGTGACAAGGTGATGCTAGTGATGTAGTAACATGCGAACTTTTTATAGACTGGACTTTCAGAACGGTGATCATTAATTACACTAGATTGATTCACGTGTAGCAGATTTTTATTGGCAATAAATTGTCCTTCAACTAACCAGATACCAGTAAGAACAAACTTAGACTGATGAGAAAAGCCAACCCACAGAGCAAGTATTTTTTTTAAAGGAACTTGGATTTTAGTGATTTGTGTAGGGCAGGTTCAGAAGAAGAATTCATTGGTCCTTTTGGGGATAAAAGTGTAGCTCTCTTGGGTGTAACAGATTGCTCCTCAGCTAAAGGACAAAGTCTAGATTAACTTCAGTAAATATCTTTATTGAGTAACCAACCAGCTATTTAATCCCAAGTAAAATATGGTTTAAATCCAAATAAAAGTATGTCTTAAATTACCTAATTTTGCATTGCAACACTTAAGACGTTTTTCAACAGGTAGATATTGAAGTTGCCCATCGCATGGCTAACTGAAAAATCCTGTAATTGCAAAAGGTTCTGGAACTATTGAATTGGAATACAAATTTGTCTCACTTGATCTCTTTTATTATGCCTATTCTGCTACTCTGAGGCGAGGCTCACATTGAATAAAAGCTGGTTTGGGTGTACTTGTTACTATTAAAAATCGCCTATGATGAGTGAGCTGGAAGTGAATCACCTTTACTACAGATCAAGCTTCTAGTTCTGATTCTGGTTCTCGGGACACACACTGTCCATGGGCAGGCACACTTCCCTCCAGTTATTGATCCATGTCGTGCTGGAAGCTTTGCTGAAAGTAGCTTGAATAGAATCAATGGAAATGAAGATAGCTGAGGAATGATTAATTCCTCATTTATGCTGTTTAGCAAAAAATTGAGGTTATATTTCCCACTCTAAAATCCCTTTTGCCTTTCTCTACACATGTGCAATTAGTCTGTTTTTTTCAATGTTTTGTTAAACCAGTTCCACAGTAACATTATACCAGGGCTCTGCTGTACTTCAATGTTAATATTTCCTTTTTGAAATCAATGCATTTCCAATACCTGATTTACACTGTATGTTTCGCATCATTTCAACTGGAAAACCACGTTTAGACTAATTAAGGAGTAGAATTTAGTATGAATTGTAATTCCTACACCTATCGGGGTGAAAGCATAGACTTCAAATTAATTATGTCTATGGTCATCTGTTCTGTTCATTATTAAAACCATAATCTATTACTAGGTTATGGGAGACTTGAGTATTGTATCTAGCTTTTATCTTTTGCCGTTAAGTTTGCAAAAATTAAGGGGGAAACAAAATCATGTTTCAGTAATTGAAACCCTGGAGCGTTTCTTATTTGTTTGCTGCAGAAAAGTGACTTAAAGGGCTATTTTAGCCCATACTGAGTAGAGAATGATGTGATTAATATTCACTATTTTTTTTAGAATAAATAAAGAATGAACAAATTATGCAACGACACCCGAGCGTAGTTTTTTTAATTTTCTTTTTGGTAGCCTGCTCCAAAATGGGAAGAGTTGCTGGGTGAAGATGCAAGAAAAATCTGAAAAAAATACTAGCTTTAGGTGAACTTCATTTCTGAGACCGGCATCCTTACTTAATTTGATGTGATGGGTAGAAAATCTGTGTTTTTTAAGTGGCCTTTTTCAGTCTATCATATACTGCACCATAATTAGCTAACCGTGTTCCGTGTAGCAAATAACAAACCCAAAGAATTACATTTGTCCCTTTTTTGTATATTCTAATGTTATCTATATAGAGGTTAACAAAACTTTGAGCTGCTCACCTGAATAGAATATGGGGCCGAATTGCAGTCTGGCTCCTCACTGAACAACTTTGCAAACATCACTTTAATTAGTTTATTGAAAAGCTGAGTGGTTTCAAATGCATTGCTGTGACTTGTTAGGATATGTTGCCTTTTACTATAAGCACCACTGTGCAATGTAAGAACTGTTCAGAAAAGCATACATGTATACAAAATATAATCATTGTGTGCCTAGACCTTAAACAAACCAGATTGCACAAACTGCACACACTACGGTGGTTTGCACTGAAATTATTTCAATAAAAAATTTCTGCAATTGTTTGGAATGATTGTTTTTTTTAAATAAATATAAAAGAAAGTGTAAAGCTTTTAAATGTTTGTTGCTACTGTGGGCATATATGTATACCTTTGGTCTGTGTGCACATCGGGGCTTGACGTTAATGTAGAGCAGAATGCCACTCATCAATGTTCCCTCAAGTTCAGGCCTGGTCCTACATCAGATTATTCTGTACCCGATTGTGTCCTGAGTCCTGTAGTCCTCCTATATTATCTATATCATAGTAGCCCCGAGATGTTAGCGTCAAGGCTTGATACTTGTGAAGTTCTTTTCCGGTTGTGAATCGTTGCCGTTGAGAAAAACCGAATGATTGACGGAAAGGGCTGCTGTTAAGTACTGTTATCCTGAAGCTGTTAATGTTACAAGTGATTTTCCAGTAGTTACTTGAAATGTACTTGCAACCTCTAATGAGCTAAACTCCATCATCTGTCTGCCTGTTACATGGTGTTTGTGCAATACGAGATCTTGTACATAACGATTTTTTGCCAATTGACATCCATGCTGGATTTTAATTTTGATTTCAAGTTTGACATTTAGACGGTGCTTTTTTGTACTGACAACGATCCTGATTTTTTTGTTAAACAGATTTTTTATAGATTACTCATTTTTTTAAGGGAACCATTTTGATCAGCTAACGTTAACTGCTCCAGGATATATCGTGCGGATTAAAAGAAAGGTTTTAAAAAATGCAACTTGTATCTAAAGAACCTCTACTGAGGATTTATGTGAATGCAAATAAATCTGTGGTCTTCAAAACCTTCAAGTCTACAAATATAGATTTTTTTTTGTGTGTGCGTGCATTAAATTGTATTGATCAAAATTGTCATTCCAAAGGATAGCGATATCCATTTATACTACTATCCACTTCATTGATGGTAATATTTTGTTGGTTTCCATTGCTGCAAAGTGTGTCCTGTCTTTCAGAAATGGCATCAAACTATGTAATAATAAATAATAATCCTCGCATTAGATACAGCGCCTTATCACGTCTTCAAAACGTCGCAAAGCGCTTCACGGAATATACTGTAAAGCGAATTGACTGTAGTTTGTGGGTGAAACGCGGCAGCGCAATTGGCTGCAGCTTTTCGCCCACAAATATACGGTCAATTCACTTTACAGTCTATTCTGTGAAGCGCTTTTGATATGTCGATAAGACGTGAAAAGCGCTATATCAAATGCAAGGATTATTATTATTATTCCCCACCCACTGGCCCGGCTTGCCAGGGTTTAAGTGTATACGAATACATACTTAGAATCTAGTGCTCAGGTGATTTATTGATCTTGATGTCTGTGGTCAAGATCCCCAAAAGTATCGAAGAACTGTTCCATTTCCATTTGCAACTTGTCGTTTCTTTTCTCTGCGTCCTCTCTTGCCCGTTCAATATTTCTCAGCTTGATCCTGGCAATGTCGTAGCATATCCTTTGCTGGTTCAGGTTTAAGTGTAAGTTCTGCACCTCTTGTTCCAGCTCCTGATGTCTCTTCTCTAGACTGTAGGAGTGATTCAGAATAAAGATTGAGGAAAAACATTGTCGTTTTGGTTTTACTTTCTCAAAAACTATTTTTGATCAGTTGGTATCAATAGCATCTGTTAGATGCATCCCTCAGGAGTTGACACATGTTCTACGCGACAATAATAATCCTCGCTGGACAGACAGAGTTACGGACCTGAGCTGAGGGTTGGGGTGGGGGAGGGCAGGGAGATCGAAAGCACGGTTGAAGAGGAGGGTCTTGAGGTGGGTCTTGAAAGTACAGAGTAAAGTGATGTGACTATATTTTGTGGGCAACTATGAAATGTAGTCCCGGTTGATTTTTTTTCATGCAAAAACCATTAAGCTACAGGAGCTTTGAATTGAATGAAAGCAGATCAAACATCTCAGAGCTGGAGCTATAATAATTGTTGCATTTGATAGTTTGTAATTGCGTATAATTCTGTTTTTTAGTAAGACTAATTGCATTCATAGCCTAACGTTTGGCTACGGATACAGTCATTACACTTTACAGTAAATCCTGTGAAGTCTGTGGCACCTTTGACATCCAGATATGAAAGACATTATTATCAAATTCAGTGTTATCAGTTGACATTCAGCTTGGGTTAATTGGTAGTACTCTCACGTCTAGGTCAGCCTTGCATCAGGACATTGAGCTCAAAGTCCAGGCTGATACTCTGCTGGGAGATCTGTCCTTTAGCTGAGATATACAAAGATTCTCCTGACACTATCCTAAAAGAAGAAGAGAGGTTTCCAACAATCCTCCAGATCAAATACATCATTCACATGGCTGTTTGTGTGATGTTGTCTGCTGTGTTTATCTACAGTCTCCACACTTAACAGTAGTTCCCTGCAATCGCTTTACGGAGTTATAGGCACGACATCAACGGTAAACCTTATTAAGACATCAGTTCATGGAACCACTGGGCATCTTTGTACACATCTCGTTTAGTTGTGTACGGTAACCCATTGGCAAAAGAACCAGATTCTAATCGATTGTCAATATTAATTCTATAAAGCTTCTCTGGTGAATTCTGATAAACAGAAATTAAATACACTGAATTGTGTATAGTTTTCAGACCAATATGTAAAGAATATTTACCCCTCGATCCTGGTCTCATATTGCTCCTTCTGCTTAACCAGTTTCCGTTTAAAGGTGGCTGCAAATCCTCGCAAGGCGCAATAACTAGGATCATTGAGAGAAACAAAGGTGGTGTTGTTTTCACTGCTGCCTGAGTACCCAAATGCAAACCCAGGCATTTGGGTATTTCCTGGCGTTTCGGGCCTCAATGGAGCTGTTATACTGAGCTCTGAAGAACTTCTTTCTAATTCTTCCTCTGGGCAAGTGGTCCCAGAGGACTGGAAATGATCGTCCAGTGAGATCTCACAGGATGATGTGGACCAGGGTGGACTGTGGTCACTCTGCACATCCTCTGTGTTCACCAAGGAAACCGTGATGTTATCATACATTGAGAGTTTGCTTTTGTATGTGCTTTCACCTGATTCCCACAGGTCATCCCTCTGCTTTTCATTCCAAATGTTGGAAGTGTTTGTAACACTTGTCCCCGTGTCACTCTGCACATGAGCAGCCGTGGTTTGAATACCTGCTTTGTTTAATAAGGGATGGTTCACAGACTTATCCCCATGTAACTGGATTGTGAAATTGCCATTTAAAACATCGTTGGGTGCCCCAAATGATGAGGCTTGCTGGCCAACTTCAGTATGAAGGGGGAGATTTTCTCTGCTGGTTGACTGAGATCTGCCTATGGATTGCCTTGCGTTTGTCCTTGAGTGACCGGATCTGATATCCTTGGTCATTTTTGCCAATTCAATCTCGCCAACTGCTGGTGAAGTATGGGAATGTGTGCCAAAGGTGTTGATGTTCGCTCCGTTCTTGCTCGTGGTCTCTCGGTTTGAAATTGGAGAAGAGGCTGTTAATTCTGACTCAAAGCTTTTAGCATCTTGTCCAACCGATGTAGCCTTCAGAACGTTGTGTAGAAACGGGTCACTGTGTTCGTTTATCATTATAGACATCAGCTGCTGCACTAATGCAGTCCCTGTGGACAAAAGGAGAGGATGTTCGAGGAAGCCAAACCTGTATTAGGAATTAATTGTGAGTCATTACACACTACAATATCTACAATTTATCTACACAGTCAAAGTCATCTCAACAATCCCAGCCAGACTTCTAATTGCAGCAGAATATTTGCTAGATTTGCTGCTAATTATTTTTAATTGCCACTTCACGGAGAAAAGCTCCCATTGTATTTAGCTTGTCGTTTTAACTAAAAACTACATCAAACTCTGCACCCTCAGCGTCACCAGGCCTCGCTGCCTCCCTGTTTCCCCAGGGATCCATTTCAAGATCTTAAGCCAGCAGAATTTTGTCACTTTAACTACCTCTGTCAGTCACCCTTGTGCTGTGAGCACAAAAAAGCTTTAAAGCAGTTCAGTTCCCTCTGTAATGTCTGTAGAAATTAAAAACAAAAGTTAATTTTAGCATTTCAATTTTTAAAAGGAGGCAAGGGCGTTCGCCAATGCTCCGGGCTTACTCCTCTGTCCCTCCAAAAATGTTTGCGGGGCACTGCTGTGCACAATTAGCTGCTGCACTTTGCCCTCTAAAATAAAACACACAGTCACTCCACTTTACAGTGTATCCTGTGAAACGCTTTGCGACGTCTCGAAGACATGATAAGGCGCTGTGTCAAATCCAAGGATTATATTGTTATTATTACTATTATATAATGTGCACACACCACATACAAGCACATAGCAATCTCACAGAATTCTCCCTGTAATATGTACATTACCGTATTTACCTCCAAACACCGTTTCAGGATGATTCACTTTGGGCCGCAGGATGTTCGGTCCAAAAACAGTAGCGCGATTCTGAATACTCATCTTGTTTACACTGGAATAAGACTGAACCTCATCCAGGAATCTGAATAAACAATACATGTGTCGGACTCGTACGGCGATGTATCCAGTGAAAGGAAATGACTTTAAAAAAAACAAATAAATGCCAGAAGCAAGTCAATTATACAGATTGTATCAAGGTTGAACCTCCTGAAGGCAAAAGTTTCATTTCATATATATATATATATATGTGTGTGTGTATAGATATATATGAACAGGAGGAGGCCATTCAGCCCCTTGAGCTTGTTGCACCATTCTACTAGATCTTGGCTGATCTGTAACTGGATTCCAATATTAGAGTTCTTATTAGGAATTCTCACACTTACCTGCATATGTACTGCAGCAGCAGGTTAAAGTTATCAGGTGGGGAGGGGTGTCACCTGCCTTGTTAACGCTTCTTGTCCCTGCAAAACAGCAGAAATATATCCTCAGTGGAACCAGTAGCAAGATCTCCATGTTGGGAGGCAGGACAAAAATCAGGTTAAAAAATGGTGGACTTTATAACGGAGGTGCAGAAGAAGGTCCATTGTATCCGTGATGACTCTCTTCAGAGCTATCGGTGAGTTTAGACCATGGGGTTCACCCCCAAACTGGGCTCGACAGGCAGGGAGATCAACCTTCACTCGGTTTGAATCCCGTGACCGGAAGATATCTCGAATTTGTGGAGAGATATGATGATGATGATGATAATAATCCTGGCATTTGATACAGCGCCTTATCACGTCTTCGAGACGTCTCAAAGCGCTTCACAGGAATATACTGAAAAGGTGCGTCCCCCAAACTGTCGTGGATTGAGTGTCTCTGAGTGAAGTTTTTTTGGAGTGGGCGCGGGTGGATTATTACCCCCGGACAAGCGATCCGGGAATCGACTAACAATTGACTGTGTATTGTGTTGGTGAAACACGGCAGCCAATTGCGTACAGCAGTGTCCCACAAACAGTCGGGGATTGAGGGACAAAATTATTATTATTATTTTTGAAGGGGTTATAGAAGGCGATTGTTGCTAGAACCCGAGTTAACATTCACACTCTGCTGCCCAGCTTGATATTTCTGACAGTAGATGGCACTAATCTAAAATTACCAGTCACTGTCTGGTGCACTAAATTCCTTCAAGGTTTCATAGGAATAAAATGGTGAAAGAAACTGAGAAAAGAAACCAATTTAGAAGGTGATCGGAGCCAAAAGAAACAAAGAGAAAAGAAGAGCATCAATAATAATAATAATAATAACAATATCGATCCTCGCATTTGATATACATCCTTATTAAGTCTTCGAGACGTCTCAAAGCGCTTTACGGGATATAACGTATACAGTTAAGTGGATTCACTGTGTATTTTACAGGAGAAACTTGGCAGCCAATTGCGTACGTCAGTGTCCCAAAACAGTCATGGATTGCATGACTTTGAGTGAATTTTTGGGGGGTTTGGAGGCGCGTGGATTATGACCCCCAGAAAAGTGATCCGCCAATCGACTGAACGCCGGGTTCCCACTCACTAGGTTAAACACAGGCTCGTGTGTGTGCGTGGAGGGAAACTGAGAGCAAGAGGATCACGAGCATCTTGGTCCTGCCCAACAATTCTCCAGATAATACTGATCATTCTCTCCATGGCTGTTTGTAGGACATTGCTGTCTGCTGCGTTTGCCTATAAATACGCTGCACAGTAAAAATCCAGCGAAGCCGCTTGAGATTTTCCATGGATGTGATCAGGCGCTAATATCAAAGGCCAGGGTTATTATCTCCTTGACATTGCCTCAAGGGCCATTGACTTAAGATGAGATAAAATAGAAATGAGTAATAAAGGAGAAGAAAGGGCAGAGGAAATGGAATGACTAAGCAAATAAATTAAACCAGAACAAACCAGGATATAAAGGAAACCAGAGGTCAGACGGTAGATTGTATAGTCCTGCCAGGTTTATTTATTGTGATTACATCAAAGGCTCTCGTGGCTCTGGTGAAGATGCCGGCCGGTGGGAAGAGAGACAGAGAGTGTGTGAGTGAGACACCGAGGAAATCAAGATGTTGCCAATTGTGTAATAAACTCAGACGGCAGCGAAGCCAGACTAGAATGTGATCTTCCTATCGCGCCTGAAGACCTTCCTCTTCGACCGTGACTACGGTCACCTCCCCCACCCCACCCGCTCGGAATGGTGCTCCGCCAACTGTCGAGCGCCCTGGGGCGTTGTCCTGGGTGAGGGGGCGCTGTGTAAATGCACGTTGTTGTAGAAGAGTAGTGACTGGACAGATTGTAGAATTGCTCCTGTAACCCCCTGAAACAACACGAGCGCAGGAATACCTCTTCTTCGTGCCCCGCTAGCGGTTGAGCACAGCACAGAAAGTCTTTGTATTTAGCGAAAGGTATGACCGGCTCTGGCAGTTGACGTAGATAGAGTCTCAGTAAAGGATGCCACGGATCCGTGTCACTGTGAGGCAAAGTGAATAATCACATTCAGTTCGGTTTAATACCTCCACAGAGTGACTTTCACAACCAACAGTTAATCCCTTAGGACGTGGACATTATATAATCGCTGATTATTAGCAACAACAAATTTACATTTGTATAGCGCCTTTCACGTCGGGAGGAAGTCCCGTTGATCTCTGGTTATGGGACGTGTGTGTATGTGTGTGTGTGTTTTTTGTGGGTTGGGGTGGGGGGGGGGGATTAGAGAGTAATAGAGTTCCCACCAACTCAAATAAAATCTAAGATCAAGCAAACTAAGGACTATGAATCACAGGTAAATAGATGGATATTTCCCTGTGACAGCAAGTAGGATTATGCGACATTACGAAGGGACATTTCATCATCAGGCTGGAAACTCAGGCAATGATACAACTGCTGACATCCAGACTGATAGTGATTCTACCCCCAGTGACACCTCCATCTCTGATAGTCGCTCCAGGCTTTTGATCAGAATGATGGTGGTTATCAAATCACTTCAGCTCCATAAGCATAACACTCAGAGCGAATTTACGATATTAAATTACAGTAGTGCTGTTTATATTGGAGTAGGAAGGTCAACTGTAACACAAAGTAAATATTTGCCGAGTATTACGCAAAGGTCCCTTTGTACCAACTGCCTTGTGAGTGGAGATTGGTGCCATTTAATGTGGAAATGTGAATGCTTTTAATGTCGGGCATGATCACACATAAATAACGTTATAATTCACTACCTTTCGTTTCGTCCACAAAATACACTTTACAGTATAATCTGTGAAGCGCTTTGAGACGTCTCAATGACCTGATAAGGTGCCATATCAACTGCAAGGATTATTATTATTATTATCTATCTATACACTAAACGGGAAATAATAAAATCGTTGGTTAAAAAAAATCACTGAGGAGAAACAGAATCTTAGTCAATAAAAAAACTATCAGGAAGCAGAGTGGCCTGAAGAGTAATAGAGGCACAGAATAAGAATCCTTGCGTTTGATGTGCCACCTTTCACGTCGGAAAGGACATGTCAAAGTGCTTCAAAGGTTTTACTGTAATAATAAATAATAATAATAATCGTTGCATTTGATATAGCGTCTTATCGCGTCTTCGAGACGTCTCAAAGCGCTTCACGGAATATACTGTAAAGTGAATTGACTGCATTTTGTGGACGAAATATAAAATATATAATACATGCCGCAAAATGTAGTGAGTGGGTATTTTGTAGGGAAACTCGCCAGCCAGTTTGGTGATGAATAGTATCATCGTCATTATTATTATTATTATTAAAATCAGTTGAAAACACAGTGTAACGTGACACCGATTGACACCACACCTCACCTGTTAAAGAGGGCGTTGCCCCCAGAATCGAAGGCTTCCCGTAGTTCCTTGACCGGATTTGCCTGACCGGTGGAGTCGAAGCAATCCCACTTCCTTCAGCCCCTGTTTCCGAATGAAGCTAACACGCCGTTCCACCACCACCGGAGCCGAACAGTCCCCTCCCCTCCCCTCAGACTCCACCGTCTCCCTCCAGCCTCTGACCGAACACTCCTTTTTTTGCACGTGGAACCAACGGCTTCACTGTTACAATACCGTCCGTCCCAGTGGCTCCCACTCCTGTCACAGCCGGAAAAAGGCCTCGAAATGTCTCGTAGAAAGGATCGCTTTTGTTATGTAACCGATCTGAAGGTCGAGAAGAACGAGGTCAAGTTGTTTATCAGCGAAGCCTTGGGCTGTCAATGCCGCGTTTCGCCCACAAAACACACAGTCGCTCCACTTTACAGTGGTTTCTGCGAAGAGCTTCTAAGACGCCTCAACGACGCGATGAGGCGCTGTATCGAATGCAAGGGTTTGAGCCGTTCAAGCTGCAAGTTTGACACAACTCACACTTTGCATAAATCCTATTAAATGTACGGTCCCAACTAATGCCCTTTGATTATGGCGAGTGAGGTTTTACTGTATCGTTTAAATAGCGTCACTAACCCACTCATAGTGTTGGAGCATTTTTACACTGTATATTTTGCGGGCGAAACGCGGCAGCCAATTGTACACACAGGTTGCCAGGAATCCTGCAGTGATGAGGACTAAACTCCAGCTGTTCGTGGGATTAAACAGTGACATTTCTGGAGAGGAGGAGAGCAGTTATGGGAGTTATGCTTTTCGTCATTCTTGATGCATGTGTTCCCAGATCGGAATTTTGGGTGAAAGTGGTGTTTCCTGTTACACCCCCTCCCACCACACAACCACCCCCCACCCACCCCCCACCCACACACACACCCCCAACCCCACAACCCCCCCCCACTCCCGCTTATATGGAAAATATAGCCACACGAGCAGTTAATCATCTGCAACCCTGTAGCCTCCTGTTGGGTAATGGAAAACACTGTACAATCCACTCACCCAAACCCAGCTGCTTCTCACTTAACCCCCCCAAGCATTTTCACGGAACCAGAGCACTTTACAGCACATTCGGCCCATCGTGTGCGTGCTGGCTCTCTTAAGAGCAATCCTTTCAGTCCCATTTACCTGCCCTCTCCCCCATATCCCCTACACTCCACCCGTTCACACACAAACACAAGGCAAATCAGACTCTGGCCTTCTTTAAAGGGTTCCTTTACAAGGTCTCACCAGCAACAAGTTCACCGTTGTTTCCTGTAAGGGACAGAATAACTGAGAACCGTTCGCCTGTTTCCAAACCCACGCACAGTGGATGAAAAAGAATCCATTCCCACTGGCCATTGCTAACTCAACATCCTCATAACCGGCCACTCGTTCCAGCAGAATATTTGTTAAATCAGCATTTTGTTTTGCAACAAAACATTCCCCTCTCTCCCGCCCCGGAACATTGATCACTCACACTAACCCCCCGGCACAGCTGGTTTCATTCACTGTACCGTGTGCAGATGCTTGTAAAACAACAACAACAGGACGGAGAGGTAGGTAAGGAGGTGCAAGGATATGGAAGTAAAATGACCGTTCTGCTACGACCCACCTTCCCTGAGGCTGAAATAGCGCTTTATTTTCCGGTAAAGTCGCTTTCCGAAGGGACCTGGAAGGGATGGTGGAGGCAGTTCTCAGGCGTGGTTCATCCTTTACACTCTTTAGCCGTGTTTGACCGAAGGCCGGTGTGGATTTGTTCAACCGCAAAGGGCTTTGAAGAACCTGCTATAAAATAAAAAACGAAATCGTTTTCACTGGAAGGTCGCTCTCGGCTGTGAGTCGGGTCGGCCCGTGAGCGCCAATGCCTTGGGACTGCGGCGCTGAAAGGTTTTAGTTGGGTTTTTTTTTGGTGGGAATCTCATCACTCGGCTGCAGGAAAAAATAATGACCCTTTTTCGGAAGAATTTCTCGGCTAGTCTGCCTCTGACCCCAGCTGAACGAATGTCAGGAGCGATTGTGACATGCACATTCCTGAGCTGCCCCCAAATGTAAATATGGACTGGATCTCTCACTGAGGAATGCGTTAGTGTCGGCAAAAATCCAGCCATTCGTTCTTCTATCAGCGCAATCTAATCAGTAGGAGAGAGGGGGCTGTCCCATTCTTAACCACGGTCAGGGAAAAACTTTAGGCAAGTTTCCTTACTCCACACACACACACCCACACGCACACACACCCACATACACACACACCCACCCACCCACACACACCCACACCCACACACACACGCCTCTGGTTACCAATAGTAAGTAGGAACCCGGTTGTTAGTCGATTGGCGGATCACTTTTCCGGGGGTAATAATCCCTTCAAAAATAATTCACGATATCAACTGCAAGGATTATTACAATTATTATTCACAGCGATCAGTTTTGACGTACACTCTCTCATTCATTGCCTCCTTCCTTCATAAAAACCAACATGACAGTCGTTGGGTTGTGGCCAGCTCACTGTTTGCTCAGCAAACATCAGTGAAACTTCTCTTCCCAGTAAATGATTAAAGAGAAGGTGTTCACTGGCGCTGATACGACCACCTTAGCTTGATTATTAAACTGACTGATGCTTTATTAACTTTTACATCCATGTACCTCTCCAGTGTTAGATTGGGTGTCATTTCCAAAGGGATTTTCGGCCTCTCTCACGCCATTTGCCTTTGAGATTTCAATGTCGTTGGAAACTGTGCTCAGGAACCTTCAATGGTCCGGTTCATACTGTAATGATTCAAAGCTGCTCCTCCACCTTCAGCTGGAGAGAGAGCGACGGCTTCTGGGGCATGATCTTTAGCAATGCTCTGTGTCAGATAAACACTGAGCAACACACAGCTCTGCGCTCTCTCAGTGCTGATTATTTCTTCTGTCGTCGTGTGGTCTCCCCATAACAAAGCCTCCCATTCATAGCCTTGTAGAGAGTAAAAGAAAAGGCATATGTTGTGTAGAATATACTGGAGAGGAGCCAGGTTTGATTCCCGGGCCGGGTGAAACCTTAGGCAAGTTTCCCTACTCCACACACCTCTGTTTACTCGGCAGTAATTAGGAACCCGATTGTTAGTCAAAAAAATGTTGTCACTCAACCACGACTGTTTGTGGGACGCTGCTGTGCGCAGTTGGCTGCCGCATTTCGCCCGCAAAATATCCAGTCACTACACATTACTATAGATGCTGTGAAGCGCTTTGAGACGTCGCCATGACGTGTAAGGGGTTTATATACCAAATTCAAGGATTCCTGTGGATCTACAATATGATTTCAAGATACCTCTCGTGAGTTCTAGGGTGTCAGTCTGTAGTTCTGAGGTTTTGAGCCTCTCCTCTATGTACAACACAGATGTTGTGTGATTACGCATTTGTTTTACACTCACTGAGTTTCTAGACGTGGTGATGGATCCAGATAAAGCAATGACTAACCCAGGGCCTAGACGAGGGGGCAGGCAGTATAACTGATCTTTAGAGACAAGCGAAGCCCTCTGGTAATCACTCAGACTCCAGTCTGAGGATCTGAATATAATACCAGCCCAGCCCAGTACAATTGACCTGGGGTTCCCCCTCCTCTCCTGCAATGAAGACAGATCCTCTTTTTAATGTGACGAACATCTTCCGAGTTATTTGTTTGCTCCTAAATTCCATAACGTCAAAAATGCCTCTAAGAGATCGTAACTATCGGTTGCAAACAACTCAACTCCTCCCTAAGCTGAGAATTTGTCTTTGTTCTGCGATCACGGGCAGATTTACTTTGTCAGCTTGATTATGGCTGTGCACTGTAACAGCTGCGAAGCAGTGCGAGGCGAGAGGAAAATATAATTAGTTTACTGGAATACACAAATCTCAAGTGCACGGAAGAGTTTTATGTTTAAGAAGAAGTGGGAGACTTCTTTAACACGTTAGAGGTCATATCTCACAGGTGCTTTAGAGAAGAATCCGTTCTAATAATAGTAATAATAATCCTTTGTCGTAGCGCCTTATCGTTCGTTGAGATGCCTCAAAGCGCTTTGTAGGATTCAATGTGAAGTGTAAGTGATGAACACAGCAAGCAATTTGCGCAAAGCAACGTCCCACAAGCCGTGAAGTGAAGGATTTCCAGGAGAAACTCCCTTCTCTTTTCGAATCGTGCCTTGGGATCTTTAATGTCCACCTGAACAGGCAGACAGGACCTCAGTTTAACATCTCATCCAAAGGACCGTACCTGTAACAGCACTCCCCAGCTCTTTATATTTAAGCGTGTCTAACGCTGCTATTAGAGTAGGCGTGGAATTGATGGGAACATTATTGATTTACGGGGATTTCAATGACACACCGAGTTCATCCAGAATATCACAGCCACTTCATTAAAAGGATCGTTAAGAATTACTCCAGTCCCAGCCAATAAATAAAGGTTGTTTTCATTTCAAGTAACTCTCGTCTTTGCTTAGTCATGAATAACTTTGGAAAGACCTGGATCGTCTGTCAGTCGCCAAGTTGTACAGATTTTTTTTACACACACACACAATTTGCATGAATAATTGATGACTCTTGTTATCTCCACTTTAATGTGGTGCAGGTGTCCGCCCGCTCTGTGAGCTGCACTCTTAACACAGTCAGAATGTTGTGGGTTTAAACCCCCATGTCAGGAAATCCCCCGCCCACTATTTGAAAAGAGAAAGTTTTTCCCCTGGTGTCCTGCCCAACAGTCTCCCCGATGAAGTGAGTTGCTTCACAGCAAATTGGCTGCCGTGTTTGCCTACAAAAACAAAAAAAGCCACAGCAAATCCGCAATAAGTGACCCTGCTTCAAGACATTCCGATGATCTGATAAGGCGCTAATATAAATCAAAGGTAAAGAATTTTATTGTCTTGGGATTCCGTCCTGTACATTTCCAGGGGAGAACTAAATTAACAGGGAAGAGGCCTTGTTTTGGTGTATGAGTTCTTACAAATTATCAGAGATGTCTGGGCAGAAAGATCTTTTATAATTTTGTATGTCCTTGTGTCCTCTGTTCCACCATCGGTGGCCGGGCTTTCAGCCGCTGTACCCCAAAACTCTGGAACACTCTCCCGCTATCCCTCCGCCTCGCCCCCTTCCTTCCCCATCTTCAGGTCACCCCTGAAGACCTTCCTTTCGACCAGTGCCTACGGTCCCCTCCCCCTCCCTCTGCTCCTGTGTTACTGTGTTCTCTGTAAGAAGTTGTTTGCCCGCCTGTAACTCTCGGATGACTTTAAGTCACCTCGTCTTGCGGTGACTGAGAGCAACACCAGTGAATGACTGGCCACACAGCAAGTCAGGCCGCTGTGCTGTGAGGGTGAACTGCGCGGCACTAGATTTACGAGCAACTTGTGAGCTTGGCCTTAACGGAGCCAGAGGTCATTGACACAGGCAATCACTGTATTGCAGTATTGTTTTCTTTTCGACGTCCAAACCAAACATCAGACGTTTCTATTTGCTTAAGTGACCGTTTAAAACCGCGTCCGCGAGTTCTGTTTACTCTCAGCTCGAGGAAGCTCAATATTTACAGAAAAACAACTTTACAGGATACAAGATAGAGCGTTTCGTTAATCAGAAATTGCTGAGATTTGGTGGACGTCAACCAGTTCTGGTGTCTGAGATAAAATGCCAAACAAGGAACAAATGCGCCCAAATCCTTTCTTTGCTTGTTTTCTCATGGGGGTCTGGGACGAGGGGAATACAACATAACAGTTCTGGCAAGCCGAGATTGCATGACATGCTCTGCCAAGTGTTTCTTTTCCGGGACATCAGATAGGATTCAGCAGTAAACATATTGGAATGTGTGGGATAACAGAAAGGAGTGTTGTAGCTCAGGGGTTAGAGCGCTCGTCTCGCAAGCGAGAGGACCTGGGTTCGAGTCCTGGGCGAGTCAGGTCAGGGCGAGACGTTGGGCAAGTAGTTTTCCGAGCAGCTGCTGTATTGTGTAAAGTTAGGATGATCTCCTGAATCCTAAAAGAAAAGCCGTGGATTTTATTTTAATATAATGCGTCCATGATACTCCGACCCGCAGTCCCTCCATCTCGCCCCCTCCCTCGCCACCTTCAAGACCCTCTTCGACCGCGCTTTCAATCTCCCTGCTTCCCCCACTGCCCTCTGCCCTCTTACTCTAGTGCATTCATGTTTCTGTGATTTCTCAAAGGTTAATTATTGATGTTAAAGCACTGAGTACAACTGAACGACCTGAATGAGCCACTCTACCTCATTGAGTGGAGGTCTCAGTAGTCCAGAGTTTGCTGTAGTTCAGTCCCGTGGTAAACCTCTTTAGTTAGCTCACCAGTAATAATGATAATGATAATAATAATAACAAGATTACATTTGTATAGCGCCTTTCACGTCGGGAGGACGTCCCAAGGCGCTGGACAGTGTACAGCATTTCAGACCCGAGCTGGGGTCAGGGAGGGAGAAGGGAGGGGAGGGGAAAGGGGGGGTGACCGATGGCATAATAATCCTGGCATTTGATATAGCGCCTTATCACGTCTTTGAGACGTCTCAAAGCGCTTCACAGGATACACTGTCAAGTGTATTGACTGTATATTTTGTGGGCAAAACAACAGAAGCAAATGCACACAAAAAAACTATAATAATTCAGTCACTCAATCCACGACTGTTTGTGGGACACTGCTGTGCGCAATTGGCTGCTGCGTTTTGTTCACAAAATATATACAGTCACTACACTGTACATTACAGTCAGAACCACTGGATGACTCCGGTAGGCATTACCTTCCACTGATATTCCAAAGTGTTCCCGGGATGGATAATTCTGACCTTTCCTTCATTTATCAACAGGGACCAGCCATAAGGTAGAGATTTGCTGTCAAATTGCTGCTGCTTTTTGCTGTGCATCAATATAACATCTGTGGTTCAACTCCAGTTTATCTGAAATCAATTGAGGCTCAAGTCACATCCAAGTGGTGAGAGATAAGTGCCACATCTCAACCTCCTGCCGGTTGAGATCCACGGTTGTGGTAGTCAAAAGCCAACGGGCAGATTGTTCCGTTGACATTGACATTTCATTGACAACCCAACCCCACTAAGTGGAGCTGTGTTACAGTGTGCAGTGAAGCGCTTTGAGGCGATTCAATGACATGATGAAGCTATTTATATCAAATTCAAGTATTATTATTAGCCGGGAACAGGAACCCCAGCTGATTTTCTCCCCCCCGCCCACCCCCCAATAAACTGGAGTGATTAGACTGACCGTAGCTATGCCCCTTCCCATAGTATCCCATATTTTTATCCAAATAAATAAATAAATACCAGGAACAATTTAATTTTATTTTAAAAATTAACAACCGAATGTGAAACCTGGATATTGGTTCAGTAGGTTAATGGGTCAAAGCTTCCAAACAGCACTTTATTGGACACTCTTTTACTTTAAATAAATTTACGATCCAGATCCGGCTGAAATAATCAATTCTATTGATTCTGTAACAAGCTTTTAACCGGCTCAATCCTTTTAACTGCTTTTGATTGAGATGCTTGCTGTACAGGAGTATGTAAAGTTTGCTGTCGGGTTGAATACATTTCTTACGCAATGTCACTTAAGTAGGATGTAAACATCTATCTGAGTGGCTTATTGAGAGACGGACACACAAATAATGTTCTGAAGGATAGAAACTTGTGTTGCGTTAATACACAGGGATAGTTTATATTGTGAAATCGAGCCGAGGTATTTTTGAGAAGTGGTGTATGATCGAGAGAGATGCAGAGCCAGATTTAAAAGGGAATTAAATCTGCAAAATCAAGTCATAGTTTTCATGTTGTGTGTACCTGAATTATTCCTTACGACACACCACACACACACACACCATATGCACACACCTTCCCCATCTTCAGGTCGCACTTGAAGACCTTCCTATACACCTAACAGATCAAATATCCTATGTACATTGGAGTAACTACCAGTTGGAACTCCATCCCACAGTCCCTCCACCTCATCCCCTCCCTCGCCTCCTTCAAGGCACGTCTCCAGACCCTCCTCTTTGACCTCGCCTTCGACCACCCTCCTAACCCCACACTCCCTACCCTCCAACCCCTCCTGATCCCAACCCCCAGCTTGGGACCAAACCCCTGACTGTCCAGCCCCTTGGGACGTCCTCCTGATGAGAGAAGCGCTAGGTAAATGTGATGTGTTGTTGTTGCTACTCAGCTGTGTTGTAATAACTGTGGACCATTAGGCACAGTAAGTGTGCGTGCCCTGCTGCTGAACAGAATAGCAACTCGGGAACGGAGGATGCATTTTGCTTTGAGAATTGAGAAACTAGGCTGTGAAACCAAGCAGGCCCTGCCAAAGTATTTATCTCTGAATTCATTGCGTTAGTTGGCTTGGGTTTCCCTGTTAGAGATCAGAGAGTGTAAAGGGAGAGTGGTTGCATTTGTTTCCAACAAGTTGCATTTTATCAATCTTTTCTTTCGGTTGCCCAATACCGCACTGTCCGGTGGTTTTAAATGAAACGATTGGACTTGCTCAGCAATTTACAATTCGCTGTTGCCGACTGTTGGCTCGCCTGCATCCAAACGCACATCAGTTCCCGGCAGACAAATCTCATTTCTATCAGCAGGATGTGAACTCATTTCTCTCCTTACTCACTGGCCATGCAAATGAGTTCAAGGCGCGTTGATAAAACTATCAAATGATGTGGAAGCATCTGGCTGTGGGAGATTTCAATGGCCTGGGAGCTGAAACATTTCCTGTGTAGGCACATATTTACAGTGTGGTGTTTAACAAGTCAATGTTAATCAGTTAGCATTAGAAAGCTCCAATGCGGCATTAAATCTAGTTTGATGGACAACCCTTCAAAGGAGTAGCTTCTCATTACTTATGAAAGCATCTAATCTCATCTAGGCTCTAAACAGCCCTCTGCTGAAAGACCTTTCTATTAGATTAAGACGACTGTTAGCAGATTATTGATACAGGCTTCTCTGTATCTTTAAGTCACCTGGAAGAGCTCGAGAGCAAAACAACATTGTTTTCTTACATTTATTTCCTAACAGCGAAATATTAATAGACCGATTGCTGAGGCCTGGAACATGAGCATTACCCAAACACAAATAGTATTGTCTCCTCTCTGATAGGTAACAGATGGGCTGTGAGTCTGAGACGCAGCAGGAAGAGAACAGAATTGGGGACGGCCTTAAAAACAAGCCCCCGGGGGGGAGAACAAGCATTTAAGCTAAATGTTTGTTTGTATGTGAATATCAGGGATGGTTTCCAGCCTTTGCTTCTCTGTGGGATATGTTCTTGCTACGAAAGTCTTTCATTTAAAGAGGAACTAAACTCTGACTGAGAACTTTTTGTCTTCCTATTGCACTCCTATGACCTTATTCCTTTAAGCACCACAGCTCCTTCCTGTTTTATTTTGCTGTGGTTTGTCTCGGGAGCACGTGAACTTTATGCTACATATTTCCAACTCGAATGTGTTTTAGACCCTATGGTTGTTTGACGACCTGTTTTAGTAATTCTTTGTGACTGACCCGAATAGTCCTCAGCTCCGTATATGTCACCAGTACTCTAATAATAATAATCCTTGCAATCGATACAGCGCCTTATCACGTCATTGAGACGTCTCAAAGCGCTTCACAGGAGACACTGTAAAGTGGAGCGACTGTATATTTGTGGGTGAAACAAGACAGCCAACTGCGCACAGTTTAAATTGGGAAAGCAAAGATAACTGAAGGAAATATCCTTCAAGGATGGAAGGAGTGATCACGTAGAGGAGAAAAGGCAACAGTGAAGAGGGAGAAAGGGAAACCCGTATTAGGAATGGAGAACAACAACTTGCACTTGTAGAGCGCCCTTCACACAGGGTAGATTCTTGGAACGTTAAACAATGGCGGAGTTTAACCCGAGCTGGGGAAGGTGACCATAGGCAAGGTCGCAGACTAGAGGGAAGTCTTCAGGTAGTGGAGAACAGTAAGTTTATTAGCAAGCAACCATTTTTAAATGTTTTGTTGAATTAATGGTGAATGCAACCCTCAGAACAGTCCACGATGTTTAACCCAGTGGTGGCGATGGGCGGGGGAGGAAATCAGGAGAGCAGATTGTTATTGAGAAATATATGAGGAAATCGCAGTATATTTTCACCCACAAAATACACAGTTCATTCACTTTACAGTATGTCCTGTGAAGGCTTTGATGAGACGTCTCGAAGACGTGATCAGGGGCTGTATCAAATACAGCGATTATTATTATTGTAACTTTCCATAAAGTCCATCTTGTGTTGTTGGAGTAACAGGAGAAATGCCAGTGCTTTATACAGTTGGAATCCTCCCCTCTGCATGAAGGTGGAGGGGATGGGGGGAGAGGGGGGGTGTAAGGGATTCCATCTGTAGAAAACACTGGCATTTCTTTGGCAGAAAAGAGAAAAATCTTTTTTCTGCCAAAAATCACAGCACGGTGTGTGCTGTTAGCTGTTCGAACACAAGGTCCCAACCACCTGTGTGTTTGCTCCCTGTGGCAGAGATCCAACTTAGCCGCATTCCAACAAAAAAAATATACAACAGAAAATTCTTGCAGTCGATACGGCGCCTTTCCCGTCGTGAGGACAGCGTCTCAAACGCTTCACATGATTTTACTGTAAAGTGCAACGACTGTGGTTTTTTTTTGTAGGCAAATGCAACAGCAATTTGCACACAGCAACGTCCCACTAGCAACCACGGTTCGCTTTATCTGGCAGATCGTTGGCCAGGACACCAGAGGAAACTCCCTCTTGGGCAAGTTTCCTTACTCCACACGCCTCTGTTTACCCAGCTGTAAGTAGGAACCCGCTTGTTAGCCGAATTGGCGGACCGCTTTTCCAGGGGGTAATAATGCCTTTTTTTAAAAAAATAATAATTATTGGTTCACTCAGTCCACGGCTGTTTGTGGGGACGCTGCTGCGCGCAATCGGCTGCCGCGTTTCACCCACAAATATCCGGTCAATTCACTTTACTGTAAATTCTTTGAAGGGCTTTGAGTTAAGACGTCTCGAAGATGTGATGAGGCGCTGTATCAAATGCAAAGATTATTATTATATGATTGAAAGCTGTTGTTGTCCCATCTCCCCTCCCCTCTCTTCACTCTCCCACCCACCCCACCTCCACTCCCAGTTCAGTTACACCAAGCACATTTCGTCAAGCTCTTTGAGCTCTCCCTCCCGATGTGAAAGGCGCTATATAAATGTCAATTGTATCCTATTTTATCTTCCCAACAGGTCAATCGAATGAACCGTCTTTGGGACTGAATTGATTCTATTCTTTGACAAACGTTTGGGTAGAATGCGCTTTAAATTAAAAGTGTGTATTTTGTTGTATTATTTTATTTCTGAAGAAAATGTACAGTATTTATAACCGGGGAAAGTTGTTGAATTCAAGAATGAGGTTAGTTTAACCTTTGGTCTTCGTTGGTCTGTGTCTTTCGTGACTACGACGGGTTGTTTGTTTGAATAGGAAAATATTCCCAATTTAAACTGACTTGTAGAAGAATCAATGGCACTGACAGATAAAGGAAATGTCTGACTCATTAATTCAATTGTTGCTACTCCAGTACTGAGTCTATTTGGAGGGCAAATATACAGTATTGCCTCATCAATCAAGTCCACGTTTGAGAATGGTGCGTTGGAATATCAACACTTGGTAATTGCATTACCCATTCCCAGGCCAGTGCACAGATGTAAGTAGATGAAGGAGAATTTGTCAGATAATGTAATGTGCACTATATCATCTCGCTCCACCGAGACGCTGACTAGAGCAGATGTTCTCCATAGAAGAGGCTTCACAAGCGTCGCGTCTCGTGGCTAGAATGGCCGCCCGCTCACCTTTTAATTCCACAGCCTTGAATTTCAGTCCCGATTCAAGGGCGAGCA